AATGAATTATGTTCAGGATTGCAGCCAGAAATAAGATATGTCAGAGGTCTATTAACCATTCAATCGAGAATCAGTAAATTGCCCAAGGGCACTTCCTTAAATGGGAAAGGGTAAAATAACTGAGGCTGGGGCCCCAAATGTATCTGGAACTCAATCATATTGTTGATTTAGAATATACCAGACATTTTTTGTAGTTGTCAGACTTCATTTAGCTTTTCTGACGTGAATGGACTGGCTTAAGATTTCAAGATAACAAATTTCCCCAATTTTTCACCTGCATGCAGCAAATAGCGTGATTTTTAGGATAACTATCATAAACATTTGGATTTCTGTTAAACTGTACTGATCCCTGGACTGAAGGAACTAGATTTTAGGTTTTAAGAGCTAATGGAGATCTAAAATAAGACCTTATGCTTTGACAATGTCATTGTTCTAGTACAACAGAAAATAGAAGGACAATAAAAATGTTCTGACAATGTTTTTATTTCACATATCATATTCTGCCTTTTTAGTTCAGTAGACCACCCAGGTTCGATTGAGACCCAGGAGAAAAATTACTCTTAGTTACTTCATGGACTTTGGCCTAATATCATTTATTTTTATTTATAACACAGATATCCTAGGATTCTGTGTTGGAAGGAAAGTAAGCAGTTGGGTACCACCAGGTTCTGTCTTAGGCACAGTATTCTTCAGTATCTTCATAAACAACTTAGTTGAGGGAATACAAGGGGAACTTATCAAATTTGCAGATGATACAAAACTGTCAGGAATAACCAACTCCCTAGATGACAGGCTCAAGATCCAAATGGATCTTGACAGACTTGAACACTGGGCACTATTTACAAAATGAAATTCAATATAGAGAAAAGTAAAGTCTTACACTTAGGCAAGAAAAACCAAAAGTACACATATAGATTGGGTGAAACCAGGCTTAATAGCAGTAACTGTGAGAGGGATCTTGGAGTCTTAGTGGACAATCAATTAAATATGAGCCAACAGTGTGTGGTGGCAGCCAAAAAAATCCTAAATTACATTAACAGATGGATTCAATTAAGATCATGTGAAGTACTAATACCACTCTATAAAGCCTTAGTAAGACCATACCTAGAATACTGCAACCAGTTTTGGTCCCCACTCTATTAAAAAGGGGTTGAGACTCTAGAAAAAGTGCAGAGAAGAGCATTAAAGATGATTAGGGGACTGGAGGCTAAAACATATGAAGAACGGTTACAGGAACTGGGCATGGCTAGTCTAGTGAAGAAAAGAACCAGGGAGACATGATAGCAGTGTTCCAATATTTGAGGGGCTGTCACAGAGAGGAGGGGATCAATCCATTTTCCAAAGGCCAGACAAGGAATAATGTATGGAAACTGATCAAGAGAGATTCAATCTAGAAATAAGGACAAATTTTCTGACAGTGAGAACAATCAACTATGGAACAGTTTGCCTTCAGATATTGTGGGTCTTTCAAGATGAGAGTGGACTGCCATTTGTCAGAAATTGTGCAGGGTCTCCTGCTTGGGATAGCGGGTTGGACTAGATGACCTATAAGGTCTATTCTATTCTATTCTATTCTATTCTATTCTATTCTACTCTATTCTATTCTATTCTATTCTAGCTCTTTAGGAGAATTCATCACTATAGAATTACAACTTCACATGAAGCAATCTGAGGAAGGAACAGTGTCTTTATATTGCTAAGAGAAGCCTTTACCCTGGAGTTCCTGAATATTGGAAAAGTGAAGTTTTATTGTTGCTGTGAGCCTTTCAGAGTGGCCATATAAATCAGAAACAGAGAGTGAGAGAAAGAGAGAGAGATTCTGCAAGTACTAGATCAGTGATGGCAAATCTTTTAGAGACTGAGTGCCCAAAAACTGGCACCGCCCCCACTCTACCCCCTGCCCCACCCCCACCCTGCTCCCAACCCACCTGCCCGCAGGGCCACTTGCCTTCAGGGCCCACCACAGATTGCCCAGCAACGCCATGGCAGCCGTGCCCTCTGCCCATGCCCTGCAGCATCAACTGTGCGCAATGGGGCATGAGGGCAGAGTCTTGTCTACGCTGCCTGGCTGCCATGTCCTTGGCTGCATTGCTCCGTGTGGGCCATGCTCGGGGGTGACTCTTCTCCAGGAGGGCTGCTGGTGAGGAGAGGGTCATGGGGAGAGGCAAGGCTGGGGCAACGGCACGTGTGCCCACAGAAGGGGCTCCGAGTGCCACCTCTGGCACCCGTGCCATAACTTCACCACCACTGTACTAGATGGACTAGATCTTTTGAAACATTAATTTTATAATTTTGAGCTACATTTATTTCTACAAAGAGGTATTTTCATATCTTCTGTGTGCCACACACTTGTACAAAATAGAATCTTATTTAGACTCATGGGACATCCCACAATTTCACTTTGGAGGCCATAAATTAGATCTTGGCGAAGCTGAGATAGATATAAGGACAAGCAACAATACAATGAATAGGTTAATGTCATACACATGGGTGTAATTTTTTTTTCTTTATTTCTGAAACATTTGAATGTTTTTAAAAAAAAATAAATAAAAAAAAATTAGGCTATTTATGGGAAAGAAAAGTCCTGAAAACCATAGTGCAAAATTTTATAGTAATAATTAGAAGAATTATAATTGGTAAGAATTAAAAAGATTCCAGTAGCTGTAAAATAGGGCTTAAAAATGATATAAGGCCCGGATACTGCAGGTTATCCATTCCTATAATCTATAGCTTCCAAGTACCTTGAAATAATGAAATGTATTTCTAATGTTCTAATATTTTCCAAATTATTGCATATATTTAAGCTGTCTTTGGAAATTATGTCCATCACATTGTTAATCATGTGACACAGTAGGATAATAAATGCATGATTAACAATGATCATATATATTCCTATGCGCATAAGATGATATTGCCTGTTACTGCAAATTCAGATGTCTATTAGATTTTTTTTTAACAAACCCAACCTTCATGAATTAAAGTTTCAGAGATTCCAATATAGGTCTTAAATAATATTAGATTATGTTTGTTTTTAAAATGTTCCGAAGACTAAAATGCATATAAAGGTTTATTTATTTATTTACAAATATTTATATGCCGCCCAATCCCAAAGGACTCAGGGCAGCATACAAGGTTAAAAACAGTCATAAAAGAATAAAATAATCCAGTCATACCGCGAGTCCGATCATATCCCGGCCTCCCGGGGACATCAGCCCCAGGCCTGCCGGAACAGGAGTTTTAACGGCTTTCTTAAAGGCCGGCAGGGTGGGAGTAGTTCGAACCTTGGGGGGAAGTTGATTCCACCAGGTCGGAGCCACCACAGAAAAGGCCCTTCCCCGAGGGCCCGCCAGCCAACATTGTCTGGCCGAGGGGACCTGAAGGAGGCCCAATCTATGGGACCTCACCGGTCTCTGGGAGCTGTGCGGCAGAATGCGGTCCTGTAAGTAACCTGGCCCTATGCCATGAAGGGCTTTGAAGGTGATAACCAACACCTTGAATTGCATCCGGAGACCCACAGGAAGCCAGTGCAGCTCGCGGAGGATAGGTGACACGTGGGCGTACTTTGGCGTGCCCACAATCGCTCTCGCGGCTGCGTTCTGAACCAACTGCAGTCTCCGAACGCCCTTCAAGGGTAGCCCCATATAGAGCACGTTACAGCAATCCAGTCTTGAGGTGACAAGGGCATGAGTGACTGTGAGTAAAGCCTCCCGGTCCAAATAAGGCCGCAACTGGTGCACTAGGCGAACCTGTGCAAAGGTCCCCCTGGCCACAGCCGACAGATGTTGTTCCAAATTTAGCTGTGAGTCCAGGAGGACACCCAAGTTGCGTGCCTGCACTGAGGGAGGTAAATTTGCCCCCCCCAGGACTAAAGATGGACCATCCAGTTGGCCTTTGGGAGGCAAGACCCAGAGCCACTCGGTCTTGTCAGGGTTGAGTCTAAGCCTGTTCACCCCCATCCAGACCCTCACATCTTCCAGGCACCGGCACATCACGTCGACTGCTTCGCTGAAAGGACACGGGGTGGAGATATACAATTGGGTATCATCCGCATACTGATGATACCTCACCCCATATGTTCAGTCCCATTAATTCAGTTTTTAAAATGCACATATTAACAAATGCCCTCCAACAGGATTAGGTAAGCCAAATTTAATGGGCTGCCTATGGACATGATCTTAACAGAATTATTATTAGCATATGGCATTGTTATATTAGCCAGGAGACTACAGTGTTAATGCAGGGTAGTAGTGTGGTTTCCAATTTACTAGCTATGTTGTGGTATATGCTCATGTGTTTCCCAAAGTTTGTCACAGGGGGATGAGCTTGCTTTGCATCAGCTCATCTTCCCACCAGTGGTACCCATTTATCTACTCGCATGGAATATGCTTTCAAACTGCTAGGTGGGCAGAAGCTAAGACAAGTGATGGGAACTCACCCCACCCACACAGTGCTAGGGCTCGATCCACTGGAGCAAACACTATTTCCAGCATCATTAAGCCACTATCTTCACAGAATGTACTTATGGAAATCTGCCAATGAGACAGAATGAATACATGTGATTTCCTGCTGGTTCTTGACAGTAAACAATATATACAAAAGTAAAAAATAAATAGGACAACCACTTCCTTTCCCCTAAAAAGATGGGAAAGGAAAAGAAAAAAAACAAATAACCAAACCAAGCATCAGTCTCATTTTTTTAGAGGCGGCAAGTTAACCATTTTCTCAGCCTTTAATATAATTTGTAATGTGTAATGGTTTGTTCCTAAATATTCTCTATAATTGGGCCATTTCTTTTATGTGGAAATAGTTAGCTGTGCTAACTCTCACCTGCAAGCTAAGATAGTCAAAGTTTATCATTTCTTAATTAGTTGATTGAATTAAAACAATGTTTAGTCAAACTGTTTAATAAAATATTCTAGATGGAAACACATATAATGAGAAATCTATATTTATAAATAACCAAGTTAAAGCTAACTATATTGAATATCATGAATCAAAAGTGAGATTTGTACAGCAACTACTTTATTATTTTCAAATGCAAATTTTTGCATTTAGTTTGCTATTTTACAATTTTACAAACTAGGTATAAAAGACCATAAATAAATGACATAAGTTATGTGTACCTAACATTGATGGAGAGAGAAAAATTACAAATTAAAATAAAATAGAAAATCTATATTTCTATCTGAGATATTGTTCAAATCTGCAAACCCAAGCAATGCACTGTTAAGATTTCTTTTTTTCCAGTATGGACTAAAGTATCATATGCCTCATACATTCTAATTTTTTAAACTGTCTTTGCATATTCCAACATATTTGCAGTGATACAAAAAATAAATGCACTCTCTTTTTTAACTTCTTAATCTGTCTAATTAATATTCAGGATGCTTTCTTTCTCATTATGAAAATGCATGTAAAAGAAAAATACTGCTTTGAAGTTCTGGTTACTGGCAAGAACCAGCTTTTTTGTTTTATACATATATATATTTATATATTTAATACACAAATCCATCACAAATTTAATACAGCAAGAAACCTGGACAAACATTAACCAATGAGGTTGTAAGCAGATATTTCCTTAATGTATAGAGGTTTGCTGTGTTAAAATATTCCTGTTGATGTCTCTTCTGTAACCAGGAAGAAATGAAGGCCAGTTCTATACAGTATTCTGTTCTTTAATGGGCAATGTGTATTGTTTAGTATATTTGATTGCAATTGTGTCCTGGCTTTGCAGTCCATGCAGCTCATGGCTCCTTAATAGTGTTTCATGCCTCTTTATTGCCAACAGCACGAATACCTGAGCCCAAAAAATTGGTTTTAGATTTTGCATCCATGAATACAACAAAAATGGGAGAGGGTGGACAGAACTGTAGGTATGGAAGGAGAAAAGACAAGGATTTTGATAAAAAATCCAAAATATGCTCGAAAATTTTAATGCAAAATTTACACATTGTTTTATATGTTTTATTTTTTTTCTTGCTCAGTGATATTGGTTTGACTATTCTGTTTCAACTTGCTGTAATGCACTGTGTTTCAGCAGAGAAAACTATTCTGCAACCAGAAAACAGATCAAACACATCAATGGCTGAGCTCAAAATATGGAGTTGCAGTATAGTCTCCAGGTTGTCACCATCCTCCTGTTTCCAAATTCGATATATGTATAGAAAAGGAAAAGTCTTCATGGTCTGTCAACCTTTCTAGGGAGGACCTTTGACCTACTTTGACAAAGATTATTATAAAAATGCAGAGAAAATACTCTGGTTATTTTTTTTTCGAATTTTAAATGTGTTTTGATTACTTTAAATGTTTTTGTATTATTCAGCTGCAGGGAAAAATGAATAATTTGCTCCACAGTCAGTTTATAAGCCCAGAAATTCTTGCAAATGGCACATGGGATAATTCATTTCTGTGAATGTATAAGATTGCATATTTCTGTTTGTGTTCAACAAATCTTTTCAATACTGTTTTTACAGGAAAAGAAAAATAGTTCAGTTCAAAGCAACCTGCTGATGGGTGAAGACTTATTCTCTATCTACTTTACCTTAAGGTATCACTGATTCAATAATGAACAGCCTTGGCAAGACTAATGTTTATCAATACTGTTTTTAGCCATTATGGAACTCATGATGGATCATTCCATAACCAAAGTGAAAGTGTCCCTGCTCTAGGCTAAAGAACTAATTTTTAAGGTTAGTGTGGCAACTACATAATATATGTATAGATACAGAACTGGAACATTCAGGAGTATGTGTGTTTTCTCCCAACTGTTGCATAGCTCACCTACTGGCCTGGTAACTCAACAGCCCAGCCACAAACTGTCAAATATCTTGAGATGCTATCTGTATATTCACAGGTGGCCCTGCCAACAGGTAACAAACAAACATATTACGTGTGCATGCACACCCATGCGCACGCGCGCGCACACACACACACACACACACACACACACACTAAAGTCATACATATCCTCACACAATCTTGGAAGAAATAAGTTACTTTCCTTTCTATTAAAAATATTGACATTTTAGCATTGGCACACTTTCTATAAAGTATTGCTGGACTATCATATGCAGTCTCAGCTTTTCTTAACTAAGTTCTGCACAGGGGTACATAGCCCTGGTGTCCTTATGGCTCCGACACTGACATTTGGAGACATAACAACAACATGCAAGGGAAAAAAAGACACAGTATGTAGGGGGTTGTGTGGGGTGTGTTGTATGTGTGGTGCATATGTATATATGTCTGTAGGGCTTTTATACAGTACATTCCTTAAGTGGAACTAAAATAATTTTATCTGGATCTTATATTTGCTTTTTTTTGCTGACAAAACCTTTTCAAAAGGAAGAAATCCAAAGAGATACTCTTCAGGAAGTAAAAGCTGCTTATTCATGGTCCATTTTCTCTAGAGTCAGTGCTGAATAAACTGAGACAACTGAAAGTGCTTGTCTCCAGTCTGTTATCTTCCAGGGTTAAGATGGTCACAAGAAAGGCCTGATTCCAAGAAAGCAAGGTCCACTTTGCCTATCAAAGGAAACAAACAAATTCCAAGTCAGAACTTGATATCTCTGATATTTTTAATATCAAACGGAAAAATATAATGCATATTTTAAGTTTATCATAGAAAAATCCTACATTGGTTATAGTACAATCTTCCAATAGTTTTTCCTAATACACACTTACATTAAAAATATGGTTTCAGGCACTAAAAACATTGAATGATTTCAAATGGAAAAATGTCCATTATCTAATTAAAAGGAAAAGATAATCAGCCTGGAAATAGTGCATTTTGATCTAAGAATGCAATATTAGCGAAAGAAGGAAAACCTTCAGTAGAAGCTGGACATTGAGCTAATGTTACACAGATAGTTCCAACTTATGACGAGTTGTTTTATGACTTTTTCAAAAGTTTTAATGGCATGGAGCAGATGCTTTATGGCCGTAAAGCTCCCCCAGTTGTGCTTCTCCCCCTGCAGTCACAGGATTGCCTGTTGGGAGGAAGCTTCACAACTGGTCATGGTGTGCCATGGTTATATGACTTCAATTCTTGATGTTTTTCCAGCAAAAAAAAAAAAAGAATTCAAATGACTGGGTTCACTTAAAAACTACATAATTTGCTTTTGACTGCAGAGTTTACTTACTGACCACCATGAAAAAGGCCAGAAAATTACTTCTGGTCAAAGGGGTACCTTGACCAACAACCAGATTTCTGGCCTTAATTATGGTCATAAGCTGAGGACTAAATTAGATCTTCGTCTTGGTTTCATTAATAGCAATGTCTCCTAAATTCTCAACTGAGGACATGAAATGCAATTGGTCTCAGAATAGACATCAAGCTAAGTAGACCAATAAGCAGATACATATACATATTTTTTACAAATAATATTTTGCTAAACAGTTGTGATACATATATTCATACATATTCACAAATTATATTTCTGCTGTATTGTGAGCAGTGATTAAAATACTGTTCATACTATTCCTTTCCACTCAGCAACCTCTCCAGTTTGAACTGCATATGAATGTATCTAAAAGTATATAACCTGACATGATAGGAGAACTTATTAGACTGATTGTACCTGAGAGCAACATGAATGGGGATATGAGTTTTGGTAAACCAAAGGAAGACTAACATGTGAAGCCAACATGATTCTGCAATGGGAATGAGGTGAGATGTGGCTGTACAGTTGTGAGGAAAACTAACCCTCTTAAGGAATTCTGAAATGAAATTCCTAAGAAAGCAATGACAAATTGTATTTCTTCTAAGAGACTATGTGGACATGGCTGAAATTATTCAATCAATTTGAAAAAGCAGATGATAAACCCCTCTGCCACTTCTACTTAATGGAGAAGAATGTCAAACTTATCTGAGTAATCTGGATGCAATGACAGAGCTAGACAAGGAAATGTAGCATCAATGGTTCCAGTAATGAAATAGGACTTCCTTATGTTAAATGGACACAAACAACTGGAATATGGAGTGTGGTAAGCATGAACTGAGGATGAATTTTCAAAGCAGAAATAAAGCACATTAAACAAGAAATTTCAGGAATAAGTGAAATTAGGTGAATCATGTTCAAATAAAATAAACAGATTCTGAACATGGATATCAACACTGGAATCAAATTAATTACCTAATAGGAAATTATGTAATAGAAGATGAAATAGAAATAGATGAATCCAATCTCAGCCAGCACAGTTTCAAATGCAGACTAACTGTGGAACAGACAGTATACAATATTTATAGATATTTGGTAGAAATGATAATGTAATTATTAGAATATCTACACAGAAATGATATGAAATATATAATTTGTCAAAATTATTTCATTCATGGCATTTGCCTCTTGACATGTTTGCCCCTTTGCCGCTCCTGACAACCCTTGCACAGATATGGATTACACGTAGAAAATTAAATAGATGTAAAATATATGGGTTAAACTTAGAAGACAGATGAGAACAATATTTGATATAGAAAATATACAGTCAGTATATAAGACTGATGTAAAGAGTAGAGTCAGACACATGAAAAAAATATGGAAAGAGATAAGAGTTATTATTTAAACAAAAAATATTCCTAAAATGTAAAAAAAAAACCATCTAATTCATGTGGCTTTTTGGACAATGGAAGCCATGGGTAAAAAAAAAGGTTGATGACTTCTAGTATCAAGAAAGGGTAAGAAAATAATGAGATAAATATTAAAGGTAAGAGATAAATCAGAACAATTATATTTATTTATCACATTTTTATATCACTGAACAATGTATAAAAGTTAGATATTCTTCTAAAGAAGCTTTAGAATATCCTAAAACTACTATAAGAAGAAAGATTGAAGAATCAGAATGGTCAGAATGAAAAGGAAAATGAGGCAGGATGCATATTCTCTCCAGACCTGTTTATCTGAAATAATAAGAGAATGGAAGGCTTGGAGTAGGTGATGACAGAAATCAAAATAAGAAGCTAAAATCTTAATAACTTGAGATCTGTTCCAAACAACACTTTGTCAATTTAAAGTGAAGACTTAGAAAAGGTAGTTATTGAAAATAAAACCTGGCAAGTGAAAAATATGAATTATGTATAAGATAAATATATTATTTTCCTTTCTATATTTCTTATGCTAAGAAGACCAAGTTAGTGTTGATTAGTATTAGTTACTGAACTTATAATTGATAGCAAAGTATTGACAGTGGTGGATACTAAATATTAGTGTGTTATCATGATAATTTGCATCATTTACATAATGTGACTTCAGTTGCATAGTTTTGCATCATTATGTAAAGTTGACCTACTGTATGCAAAAGTCTTTGCTTCCAGTTCTATTAAATCAAGGTTTTCCTTTCTTGAGTTCATGGATAGATAAAGATGGAGATAGTGTTGGAGAAATAGAGAGATCATAAAGGATAAGGTGATTTCTTTGACAAAAAAGACCAAAATAATTAAAGCAGTGGTTTTCCAGTGGCTATAGAAAGAAGACAAATGGTAAAAAGACACCTTCAGATTATGGATATGAGATGACAGCTAAGTATTATGGACCTCAAGAACAAATCAATGAATTCTTGACCAAATAAGACTGACTTCTCCACAGAGAAATGATTAGCAAGCAAGATATAGGCATGTAATGTTAGCACCAGAAAAAAAAATACTATGCTTGACAATGAAGAAGAATAGGTAATATGGTTGAAACAACATGTAGTCACCAGAAGTTATTCTGAAATTGATTGACCCTGAGGCAGGATATTCTCCTTATAGATCTCCATCATCTTGTCTCATATGGCATGCCAAAAGCCATTTTGATCTAGTGCACATAAGTAGTTGTGCAAATCAAGAACCAGTGTATTGGTTAAAGTGATGGCCTAGAAACCAAGAGACTATGAGATGTAGTCCACTTTAGACATGAAAACTGGCTGGGTACCTTAGGCCAGTTACTCCCAGGTTTATTGTTGTGGGGAAAATAGGAGGAAAAAGGAATATTATTTGTATTTGCTTTAATATTATTAAAAAGGATAAAAAACTCAATGCATTTTTTGAAAAAATATTCCAACATTTGTAACAAAATGGTATTAAAAAAGTAACTTTTTAAAAAAGTAAAGTATATCCTTCCAAATTGGAAAGTTTTATGGATAATTTTGTCTTCCCCCCCCCCAGAGAGAGAGAGAGAGAGAGAGAGAGAGAGAGAGAGAGAGAGAGAGAGAAGCTCCATGAGAAGAAGTTTTTATTAAGCTGTCACAGTATATTTTGACAGGATGCAAATTTAGCATCTTCTATTCCCAACAAGTTGATTTCAAAAACTCATTTATGAGACAAATTTGTAGTTAAAATCAGCAGTTTGTTGTTACAACTGACAAGAATTGATGAGGGTGATATTAGAAATATGGCAGGTTTTTCTTTGTGTAATTCACTAACTCTGTCTTCCAAATAAATCCGGTGATTTCTAGCAAATCAAATTTCATTGTCATTTATAGTTTGTGGTAAACTGTAGATGAGAGAGAAACCAAAATTTAAGTCATTGAAAATGATGCTGCTATTCTGAAAATAATACGCTTAGGTGAAATGGTTTCCAAAGGAGACTTTGCTCCACCAATTTATCTAGCTGTACATTCTCAATTACAAATTACCTCATAATTTGAATTCATAGCATGTAATTTCTATGCATGTTTATTTAGGAATATGTTTCATTCAGTTCTATAAGACTGCAAGACATGTATATACAGTACATAAGTATTTTGTATGTAGATATGATACATGTAAGTATATATGTATTTTGTTTTTTTTCCAAATTTGGAAAGGCCCAATTTGGGTGGCTTACAAATTAAAAGCAAAACAAAATAAAAAGCAAAGAATATCAAGAAAAAGAAGCCAACTGATTGGGAGAACAAAAAATATGAAATAGCAAAAACAAAAAGAATAAAATAAAATCAAATGGTTTCAACCATTCTAACTCAATAGCTGCTTGAGAGAACAGTTATGTCTTTAACAGTTTGCAGAAAATCAGAAGCACCATGAATCTGTGGGGAGACGATCATTCCCCTGTGTTGAAGCCATCACTGAGAAGCCATGCTTCTCAGTTTCCTTAAGATAATGCATTCATATTTTCTTTATTATCTGGGTAGCTTACAAAATCCCAAACCAGTACAAACAATTAAAAACATAATATAACATGGACAACCTGGACTAAAACAAGCAGGACAATAAAAAGAAAACACAATAGGGATCCCTAAACATAGTATTCCCTTGGATCTGGACCAGAGTAGGTATAAAGTACTTTCTGGAATTCCAGGAGACCAGAGCAGGCCCACTCTGACTGACCTTATCATATAGGTAAACACATATAGAAACAAGCCACTCCTCAAGTAACCAGGTTCTATGTTATGCAGGCTTTATAGGTGATAATCAACACTTTGAATTGCACCCAGAAGCCAACTTGCAAACAGTACAGCTCATGAAGCAATGGGGACATACAGTATGCTCATACTATCACTGCTCATGCGATTGCACTCTAGTTATATAGCTCCATGTAGAATGCATTATAATAATTTAGTCAGGAGAGACCAATGCATGATTGTCTATCTGAAGGGCCAGGTAGCTTTAATCCTCCAAGAGACACCTGATCTAACAGGTAGCAAAGCTTACATTCTGGAAGATCTTATCCACTTCCTCAATAGCCACAAACTCACTACAGAGCCATACCTCGGGCACATCATCTGGACCTGTCCAGTTGGAGTTCCACTCCAAATAATTCAAAGGAACAAAAGCTAAATTATAGACAATCCTGGAATATTTAACATTTTCTCAACTCCCAGTGATGTTAAGATAAAGTTCAGTACTTTTCATTTTCATTTATTACTTTCTTTTATATGCAAATAATGGATTTTCAAAATTGAGATTATGATTTTTCTAGATTATTTTGGCACTGATAACCCCAGGACATACTGCTTGTCATTTTGGTTCTACAATTCTGCAATAAGGCATTTAAGATAAATTGACTGTATTGGTTGATTTAAATAAAGCAAAATTAATCATTTAAAATGCTTTGTAGGTAATCATTGTCTTAAGATTGATTGTTTAACGTTTTGGAAATATGATTGCCTCAATTTATGATGGCTTTGGAAAGAATAGCTTAGGGCATAAAACATATCCAGCCATTGTACTGTATTGTACTGCCCCATCAGTGGTCACGTGAATATATTTTGGGTGCTTGGCCATCGGTCCACTGTTATTACCAACTGCATCATCTTGTGGTCACCTATGATTTTTACCATTTTCTGCTGCTTTCCAGCACTATTTGCCAGTTGGTATATGGATTTAGGCTTATGACCATGTGGTCATAAGTGAATAAGTGAATCGTGTGATTCACTTCGGAACCACTGTAAAAATGCTTAACTTATGCTTGACCTAGCCAACTAAAATGGAAAAATATAGTTTTAAAGGATTTTGAGTGTGTGTGTATGTGTGTATGTGTGTGTGTGTGTGCGTGCATAACAATGAGCAAACAGCACCAAATTTAAAATATATGAATATAATATATTTTTCAATCTAACAAATCTATAGTTTTTCCTCCATAAATCTTTTACTATGCAGGTGTTTACGTTTCCATGTGAATCATCCCATGCTTTCTAAAAACAAATCAAGTATAAAAATGAGAATTCCAAGGCTCCACAGTTTGCACAAAGTGACAATCATTACAAATATGTCAACAAATTATTAAGGGAAAGGGCCCAGTGATATCACAATCTCGATTAAGCACAGAAAAAAACAGAATAAACACCCATTATGATTTTCATTTCATAATTGCACTGTTTTATTATCATTAATGAAAATTGAAACAACACGTAGTAGAAAAGTTTCACTGACCTTTTCAGTTTTGCACTGCCAGTGGCCTCTTGAAAATGGTTAGATGTAGATTTGGAAAATCCATCATTAAGAATGGCTGACTAGCAAGATAATTTCTAGAATCATGACAGATATACTCAGTGTAATGCAACAGCAACCATAACAGCAACCAACACTCTTCCCTTCATAAAATAAATAAATCCAGTAATCCATGAAGGTTGGTCTCTGTCTTAGATTGCAAGTGGATAAATCTTGAGAGGCACTGATCATCCAAATAATATTTTCCTTTAAGCTTTCTGCTGAGTACAATGGATGCCTAGAATATGCCAACATTTCCTGGTTCAGAAGATTCTTTGTTCCAATAAAAGATGAAGGAAAAAAATGGTTTATCCACAGATCAAACACAATAATTGTAATCCCATGGCTGCTGGGGGGAGGGAATAGTATTTCCTTTGTTTAAGAACAGTATCTGGCAGGAAACACAGCTTCAGAACTTGAATGGATGTTTTATAGATACAAGTATATTACATAATGCTGATCCATATATAAGTATAATCCAGGAAACAATTTGTTCCAGGCTTGTTCTCAAATGACGACCTGTCATTTTTGTAGGTTCCCTCTTTGCAGCACAATTAGCAATCTTTATATATCAAACAGTGCTGCAAATCATTATTATTGTTATTTCAATGGCAAGGAGAAGAAGTAAAAAAGTGCAGTTCTTCAATTAAAGTGCATGGATGAGGTAAACTAATTTCAAGAGTTTAGAGTTTATTCAGTACTGTCTCAAACTGGAACCATTCTGCCGTGCATTTGCTGCATTTGGGTTCTCATTGCTTGGACGCTGTTCAAAATCTTATTCTGGTGTGCAATGGCAGTAATTCCAATTCTTGTCAGGTCACTACATGAATTAAAAAAAGAAAAAGAAAGGAATGAGCCAAGAGATAAGAACTTTATGCCAGATATGTATCTATCTTCATCAACAAAAAATAATGAAAATCAAGGTGAATTTATATAAATTCTTAATTACATCTCCAAATGTATTGCATTTTAATGTGTTTTAGTGAGGTTTAGTACACAAAATACAATGAAAAAAAAACAATTAAGAGGAAAATGCAGGTTTTTTTAAAAAAAGTGGTTAACTTCTAACCCGTTCCAGCATAGTGAATGCTAACGTAGCTTCAGCTTTTTACATTGCTTATAATTATTACAAGCCCATTCTATTACCCTACATTAAATCTTCAAACTAAATTCTAAAATTCTATTTTTCTATTTCAAGCATAAAAATCAGAAGCAATATGCAGTGGTGGGATTCAAATATGTGAACAACTGATTCTCTGTGTCGATGCCACTTCTGGAAGTCCATTCTGGACCTGGGCAAAAAAAAGTAGCTACTGGCAATATCCCAATACAATGTCTGCATGCACTGTAGAAGATATTTTCAAATTATATTAATTTCAATATTCTACTATTAAATGCATGCCAATGACTGACTCTAATGATGAACAATGCAAAGCAAAAAAAAAAGATACAGTTTTATACTTTTTTTGTTAATACTGCCAAGTACTTACTCTTGGTTCATATGCACCACAGCCTCTAGAGTAGTATAGCTGGCAGCTGTAAAGTTATCCTTGTATCGCTCCATTTTAATAGCTTGAAGCCAATCACCAACAGAAACAACACCTGAGAATTCAGGAGAATTTGGATCCAGCAAAGCAGTATTAGGCCTAGAACCAAATACAAGGACATTGTTTTAATTAACAAGGGATTTATCTAGATTTTAAACTAGATTATACAAAAGTTACTTTGTATAATTAGAGATACAAGATTTATGCATATTTTCTGGGGGGAAATGGTCTGTACTTTGGCTTGGTGGGGAAGACTTTAAATTTGCAAACTATTGAAATACACACAATTAGTGCTGGAGAGAAGTTCCTGGAGGATGGGTCCAGCATGAGTCTGAAAGCTCAGAAGATAAAACTTTTGGTTTTGACCCAGACTGGATCCTGCAAAAAAAGCTTCATTAATAGTACAAATGAGGTTCTAAGGGTGATGGTGAATTGTGAATTGTGAATGAATTAAGTCCTCACCCATATAGCCCATATCAACAATAACAAAAACAAAACAAAATCCAACCTTCACCAAATGTTGATTTAACACCTCTGAAACATCAGTGATGAAAAGTATGGGCTGTCATACATTCTGGAAGTGCAGAACTTAGAAAAAACTTCCAACAGACCTCTTCTTGGCCAGATACAGAAGGAAATTAAAATTTCCATACAAAGCAGGTACAGCGGAGAATTAATCACTTTTAGTCAATCAGTTCCTGACTAATATGTATGCAAAATGCTAGCACTGAGCACTCACGGCTTCAATTTTTGGGTTATCAAATGCAATTTCTACTTTTTAATGTCATGTAACTTTTTACAAAGTATTTTTAATATGAAAAGACCATATAGTAATAGAAACCTTTACATGGCTGTGTACCATTTTGAAATAAACCACAAGAAATATTTATTATTATTAAAATGAACAAAAGTTTAGTGCTTTTGTTTATTTCAAGTGTGCAGAATCAAAAATTGCAAGCGTTTTGTATGAGAAAAATATTCTTTTAATTTTTATCTTTGCCAATTCTTTTCGATAGCAGGTTTCAGAAAAAATATTACAGATATCACCTTAAAGGAACATTCTTTGGTAGTCTGCATTGTGCAAAGCCATACCTAAATATACACAGTCATTTTTTCAGGATATTTGATGCTGATATTAAAAGCAACTTCATAACAATAAGCACTGAAGATCAGATTCTACATGACAGAGAAAGCTAAAATAGTCTAAGGTGTATGCTTATCAGAAAATTGGAATCAAACACTGCTGCAAGAGATTAAACACCTGATAATATAGAGATCTTATTTCTTAAATAATAGTGGAAGATAAATACACTTGTCATATTACAGATGCAGTTAGAACAACTAGAAGAAAGAAGAAAATAGTTCCTTTTTAATGTAAAATGATTTTTTAAAATTTTTAATTTAAAAGAAAACACTTTTCCTTAAATGTATATTGTGAGCATTTAAATTTAATACTGTTATTTCTTCCCTCTATTCATTTAATGCAGCTCACTGAACTAATTTAGGGATGAAGATATGTTTCACTTTTTGAAATATTTTGTTTTCTTATCATCTTTTTTCTCTGGCTAGTCATGATACTTGTTCCAGGGGACATATGATTGCTTATGCTCTTCAGGGCAATTCTCTGTTCCTTGAAATAAGAGGTGCTAAAAAATAATAAAAAACTTGCAAGCAAGACAACATATATTAGATTTCTATTAATCCCAGCTGAACGAAAGATCTCTGTATTTATTCCTGTGGCCCTGGCAATATTACTTCAGAGTTACATAAAAAGTAAGTAATAGTAATTGAAGGCTTTCCCCAAAATATTATATTAGCTATGGGTTGGATCCAAAGCATCTGATAGACATATGATGGTTTGTGTTCTGAGTTGCTGCTAAGATCGGACTGTCAAATCTGGTGTGTAAAATTTTGAAAATTTTAGATGACATTACAGAGATATTGGAAATGCTATATCTTTCCTGCCATCTGATGGTTATCTAGATTGTGGTAGCCCAATTCTGGTAGCTTATTTAGAGAAGAAAACATAATTACATGTTTCAACCTAATTCTGAAGCAATCTTATACTGAGCCACAACTCTATTTTAGTTGGTACAGTCTATCCTATTCAGAATAGCACTCAGGATTTCAAACTAATGTTTTACCCAATCCTACTTGAAGAACTATATGTAAATTTGAGCCTGGAACAGTTGCATGAAAGAGGATCTCATGCTCTGTTACTCAAGGAAAAGTATGATTCATGAGTGCTATTGTAGGATTGTAGGGTTGGGAAAGCCTTCTGCCAACTTCCTTCTGTGAAATTCAGTTTCATGTAGGTTTCTAACATAAGCCCCAATTTACAATGATACAAGAACAAAGCGAATTACAAATTATCCCAGGTGCATCCAAGGGAGCCTACCCCTTTTCTTGCTTGACAGGAAGAAATTGCTCCATTAAAAGGCATTTAAATGAAAAAATAACAACAGAATTTTAGAGTTTAGTCTTCTAAAGTCACCATTTTTCATAGAAAAGTCTTCTCAGACAAGCCAGTTGCCCCTATCAGATATGCTTGTGTGGAAATTTCATTACCTTCAGCCAATTCAAGCACAGCCTACGTTGGCTGAGAATGAGTTGTGTAGTATGACACATCAGACTACATCATATTAGAAAAGGATAAGAAAATGATTTTATTTTTAAGAATTGTCGTCAGTAACTATTTCTACTGTATCTGGTCTCCACTTCTGAAAAGAAAATGGCATAATAATTATTTTCAAAGAATAATGTGTATCAATCTTTTTATTTTTTTCAAGTTGCTTATTGATTTTTTTAAAAACGTATCTTTCATTAGTTGACTTTAAACATAACACACTTTATTTTAAAAAACTTTAAGCTAATGAATGAGAAGAATCAGTAATTTTTTTAATATATTTTTTTCTTACTCCTTTCTTTTCAAACTAGTTTCAATTGCAATATGAAGGAGGACACATTGCTTCCAGAAGTTGTGGGTGCTCCAATACTGGAGGCTTTTAAGAGATTAGACAGCCATTTGTCTGAAATGTTTAGGGTTTCATGCTTGAGCAAGGGGTTGGACTAGAAGACCTCCAAAGTCCCTTCCAATTCATTTATTCTGTTCTGTTATTTCAGATGATCCTGTGAAAAAGCAGCCTGTTTTAGATAGCCACATGTATGCCTCCTTGACTTCAGATCGACTATGACCTACAGTTGTTTCTTGATGGTTTTGGCTAGCTTCTATGCACCTACTGCTCCAGTCATTTCTTTTACATGGTCTTCCTTTCAGGCAAGCTGCTCAAGACAATTGTGACTTTCATTTGGGGTGTGTGAGTAACCATGCATTCCATTCTGCTTTCTGTATTTCTCATTCCACTGAAAGTATTACAGATTATTCTGTGTATGCTTGTTTGTGTTGGCTGGAATCAGGACCCTTTCTAGATAGAGAATATACCAATATATTAGATACTTTCTGTAATAAAAAAAGTTCATGATCAGATGGCCAAGGCAGCTACTCAGATTTATCTTGTTGTAATTATTAGATTTCTACCAGGACCTTGTGTCCATGAAAGAACCATTGGAATAGGATAGTTAAAATAAATAAAAAAAAGCTTTCTGCTGAATTTTTATTTTAATACTGTGCAGATGTAAACGGTAAATATATAAAGTAAAGTTATTCTTGAAAGATTTCAATATTTATATACTATTTTATACTAGTATATAAATAGCCTGGTCAGGACTATGAAACATAATTCAGTTTAGCACAACCGTTGAGCTGAATTACAGTTGGCTGTCACTACCAATACTTTCCTTCATCTATTACCATTAGCTTACCTGGAGTTTTCTGAGCCTGTTCTCTTCAAGCTATTGGGGTTGCGGATAAGTTTGTCTAACATGTTGACAATCTGTCCAAATTTAGGTCTGTCACTACGTTCTTTCTGCCAACAATCCAGCATCAACTGATGTAGAGCAATTGGGCAGTCCATTGGGGGTGGAAGCCGATAGCCTTCTTCAATGGCTTTGATAACCTAAGAAACACAGGAAAATGATATTTTAGGAGACATTTTAATTCAGGGCAGAAAAAGCAAAGTAAGCTTCATTCAATTTGGCATCAATCAAAAATTCTGTTCACATAATAAGAAAGTCCCAAAGCATTCTAATTAGCCACTTTTAGTATTAAAATAATGGAAAGTAAAGTCATTTGGAATATTCAGATAATAAACATATGCCAAAATACACACTTTAAAAATGGGTTAGAGGAAAAATGGTTAGATAATATTATAATGCCAGAGAACTTTTAAAAAGTTGTTAGATTGCGATAGAATTTTAACTGTTGTGTTGCATGCTGTCCAGAGTTACATATTTATGAGACAGGTGTCTATGTAAATTTGGCAAATAAATTGTTCCAACTACAAAAAAGTAACTGCTGTGTAACTGCATTCTAGTTACCTTGATATTGTTATGAGCAAAACTTCTATTAACCAATTGATTTGTGAAAATTTATAAAATAGTATATACCTTGGTAGAGCCACCTATTAAGAAGTCATCTATAATTTAATATGACCTAAGCATGATCATGACCATAAAACAAGGTGGATATAATTTAACTTGCATAAAATCCTAGTATAGAATAGCACAATGTGGGTAAACTATACTACTATGAAGTCTAGAGATGCCTGAAGCGTTCTACTTAATAATTGTTTCACATCAAGGAAGGAAGGGAGGTCAAATGATGTATTCAGGTCTCCAGTCTAGCCTGATATCATTTAACATATTTATAAATGTCTTGGTAAAACTTAAGAAATATTATTATATAATTTTTATATCATCCAATTTGTGGATGATATAAAAACAGGAGATATAGAAAACAGGATAGAGACCAGTATCAGGGGTCAGGAAGATCTTGACAAGTTAGAACAATAAAATTAACAAGATGAATTGCTACAAGAAAAATATAACACATTTCATTTAGGCAAGAAAAATCAAAGACATGATTGTAACATGGGCAAGATCATATTGGACAGAATTACATGATCTTAAGATCATGAGAAGCCATTGTTTCTCTCTATTAAGTTTTTGTCAGAGTATACAGAGAATAACTGGTCCAGTTCTGGACATTACATTTTAGAAAGGAGATTTTAAGGAAGCTATTAACATTTTTCAGTGACTGTATTAAAAGTTTTGTTGCTCCAGGGATCATTGATCTTCTGGATGCCAGTGAAACCCTGAAGAGATCAACATATAACTAGGAACCAGACTATAGTTCAACTATTGTATAATGGTTTGCGTCTCACTATTAGTAACATCTGGCTCTTTTTAACTCACCCAAATCTGTCTGTCATGAAATGCAGGGTGGCACAATTGTTCACTACTCTGTACCCACAAAGGCCAGCTGCAAATTATCCTAATGTGAAGTGTGCAATGTTATATGTGTGCAATGATGAACTATGGCAATATGATCTCAAACTAGTTTGCATAAAAATCACACAAACCCTTCCATACACGCATCTCATTATCATATTTGCCTATTTGGCAAAGCTACTGAGAATACGTTCATGCATAATTGAGACCCAGCTCCCAACTGTTGGGCATGCCTAGTTCACAATACTTCATGCCATCACAGCTGGCACTAATGGGCACTCTTGCTGGCAGTCTTTACAGACTGAAGAAAGATTAATTGGCCACACACATTGATTCACACAACCATACAATTTGTTTCACATGAAGAGTAGTTCAGGCACAATGGCTAGCAATGTGGATTCATACTTCTATATGGCCACTAAACATTAAGAAACAGAGAAGTGTTGTCTTCCAGGTTTCTAGAAACTGCACCCTATTTAAGAAAATAAAATTAATAACTTTCCAGGACCTTATTTACATTCAAACTGAAAAAAAGATGTCAACAGCAAGCATTTTCTTCATCTAAGTGACAATTTGAATCCTGTGAGGATTTTTTTAATCTCTTCTGGTAAAGGGCATTTTTTTCAATTCAATTTTTATTACAGTCATGGACCAGCACACAAAAAAATTAAACATTAAAATAAAATAAAACTGTACAGAACCAAACAGCACAAGGCATAATAATGTATTACAATTGATGGTGGTGAAATCAATGGGTGACTAAAGTCTGCCTAATTTTACAGACAGTGTAACAAAACTTAGCTATGCTAAGATAAACTGAATCATACTGATCTAACAATTATAGTTTTACATAGAAATGACCCAAATTTCCAGCATATTTAATCAGGTAAGGTTATAAGTTATAGAGAGAGCAATACAACAGCACATGAGCTGTGCTTTCAATGGCCCCTTGTTCAGAGGGACACAATTCTGGTAAAAGGCACCAGAACTGCACTACTGTCCAATTAATCTTGACATTCTTTTAATTGGATAATATGGACAAAAGGACAGCACTAAATTTATTTTTCTTGTTGATGAGAATTTGTGTTTATACAATGCATCTGATACATTTTTCCATGTTAGTGGCTTTGTTTATTCTGAGTTAAAAGTGCTGGATCATTCTGTTCCAGTACTTTTTACTCTGAATGCCCTACTGTCTTAATTCTGTTACTTAAAATCCCTTATCTTCAATGTATGCACATGATCTTAACATAGTTATTTTATGTGTTATATCACTAAGATAAAATATGTTCTTTCTACATTTAACTTTTGTAGGATATTAAAAAGACACGTTTATAAACATTAGCAACTTTTAACTTCTATTAATGGGTGAACCTCTTAAGATTAGTGTACTTCTAGTTGATGACCAAAACTGAAGGCAAGAAGAAATGTTGAGCTGTTTATAAATCAATCTGATAATGCTTGTTTCTTATCTTCCTTTTAAGATTGTTCTCTCATTTTCAGTCTCATTTAGAAAAACATAAATTTTACAAACTCACACTTGGAATGAAGTATTCCAGATGGTCGAGTAAAAAGAACTTACCTAATGTACAAAAGGTCATTCACTAAAACCCATTTATTAATGTACTCTAAGGATATATCTTCTGATGTTGTTACTGCATCAATAAAATTGTCAGCTCAAAATAGGAGTTAAATTCACATTAGGGTTTTAGATATAATGTATTTTCAAATGAAAAAAATTATACAGAATAAATATCAGCAATTTTGTCTCCACATTTCATTTTGTAAATGAAAACATTTCTTTTTTGATTCATTATCCGTTCTTATATTATGATTAAAACTTGTAAATTGTGTACTTAACTGCCTATATATAGAACTACATGTTACAGAATCTGAAGCAGCCAGATATTTCAAGTTTCCTCAGTTACCTCTCTATCCTGTCAACATTTTTCCTTCCTGGACCTTTGCTGTAAAGTGTGGGATATTTTTTAAAGGCTATATATATGGATGAATGAATGATTCCCTTCCTGACTAACAAAAACAGAAGCAAAGCTTATGAGCAATCCCTCCAATCATTCCCTTGATATTTTACCATTCTCTAATTAATTTCACAAGTTTCGGAAAATCTTCTGTTAAGCATTTCCAGTTAGTCTCTCACTAACTTTTTTTTTCTGCTTTGTATAATTTGTAAGAAACTTCATCTGGTGGTATCCCACAAATAAAAATGAAAGTGAATTAGGCTCATAGTCTTTTGATGTAGGTATGTGTCTTCCAAATCCAATCTTTACAGTAATTATTCTGATAGAGATAGGCTTTCATGGCATGGGTTCAGACTTCTTGAAGGACTGTCTCATCCACGGATTGGCCCATCCTACCCATGCCGGCAGAGGAAGCATGCTGTGAGCCCCATCAGCCTGATCATTCTGGTGGTTGCAGGTGAAGGGCCTTCTCTGCTGTTGTACCTGCCCTCTGGAACATCTTGTCCCCCAGTATGAAGTTGGCCCCATCCCTTCTAACCTTTGACAAGAGACTAAAGACCAGCTAGCTTAGGGCTCCAATGTGGGAACACAGTAGAGGTGCTTGATCGATTAACAACAGATTCTACCTCCGCTCCATCCTGCACTCCCCATCTTTAATTAGATCATAGTGTTTGGCTTGATTTAACTTAATGTTTTTAGTATATTTATATTTATCTTTCATGATTATAAACTGCCCAGAGTTACCTTGTGGTGAGATGGGCAGCCAATAAATTTAACAAACAAACAAACAAATGGATAGTAGCTATCTGATCAAATACATTTAGCAAAATAGTATTTACCCCAACACAAAATATGCTCAATTAACTTCAACTATAGTGTGGTAATTGTCCACATGGAGAAAAAAAAATCTAGTGTTGTTTCTATGATCCTAGAAGATTGCCCTATGGCCACTTAAACTAAGAAAGAAAAATGTCCAAGCCATGTAGCATGTCATCAGCATCTCAAGAGTTGCCAGTGTTTTGCAGAAGTTCTGGTAGCTTTTTTTTCCTTTTAAAATCATTTAGATCCATGCCAATCCTACTTTACTAATTTTTCATAAACTGCTGAAACCTGGTTGTTTCCCAAGTCTTGGATTAGAATGAATAGTCAGGATATGTGTGTATGTATGTTTGTGGTGCTTGTGTGATAGCATCAGTTTGTATTTCTTTTTCTTAGATATAGGCTGATTTCTCTTTAACTTTTTTAAAATGATAAACCACATAGGTTTATTGTGGAGGTGGATAGCCTTGAAAATAAAGTATCACATTACATCAAATAAAATGACTGTGCCAGTCTCACTCATATTCAATTCCAACTCCCTGGCAACATATCACAAAAAGCAGTTCCTCTGGAGGTGACAGACACTTACATCTTGATTGGACATATCCCAATAAGGCCTTTCTCCATATGACATCACTTCCCACATGACAATTCCATAGCTCCAGACATCACTGGCTGATGTAAATTTACGATAGGCAATTGCTTCTGGTGCAGTCCATCTGATAGGAATCTTACCACCCTACAAATAAATCAACAGAAGCATTTATACAACTGCAACTACTTTAGATTTGTTTATTCACTTATATAGGTTTATATAATGTTTCAATTTTATATAATGTTCATCATTACTTAAATAAAAAAAACAGGACATTAAAATGAAAAGATAACAGAGCTATTCCACTCCCTACACAACTTCCACACAACTTTTTCTGCAAGCAAAAGAAATCAGGAAGAAAGCAGACTTAAACATGAAAAGTTCAACCACTTCAGTTTTATTATCTTTGTGGTTATCTCCAGTGGTTTTTAAAATATAAGTATGTAGGTAAGAAAAATATAATATAGGTAGTTCTCAACTTACAATCACAATTGAGCCCCAAATTGCTGTTGCTAAGTGAATTGTTAAGTTGTTAAGTGAATTTTGCCGTATTTTACAACCTTTCTTGCCACAGTTGTTAAGTGAATCACTGCAGTGGTTAAGTTAGTGACATGGTTGTTAAATGAATCTGGCTTCCCCACTGACTTTGCTTGTTAGAAGGTTGCAAAAGATTATCACATGACCCTCATATATATAAGTCTGTTGTCAAGTTCCTGAATTTTGATCACATGATCATAGAGATACTGCAACAGTCGTTAAGTGTGAAAAACAGTCATAAGCCACTTTTTTCAGTGCCATTGTAACTTTCAATGATCACTAAATGAACTGTTATAAGTCAAGAACTACCTGTAAACATTTCAGTGGTTGGACTAGGTTTTCAGGATCCTGCTAAGGAAATGGAAGCCTAAGAGCTTATGTTGGGCTTTTAATTATAATCAGTCCTTGCACAAAACTGTTTGCTTCTTTTAAGCAAAATTCAGACAGAATTTATGATTTCCGTTGTTGTTTGTTTGTGTTGTGTTATTTGTGTTGTTCTTTGCTGGCAGGGATGCAAAATCATGAAATGGTCTTACGTGTTATATTGTGATAGGGTTTGGGCTTTTGTTTTATTTTTACTAGTACTGATATTATATTGCACCATGTACAGTATATACCTGTGTGTGGGTGTCTGCACACACAAAAATGTATTGATTTCTCCGCTTATAGCTTCATTAATGTACTATGTGCCAAGCTCTCTGAACTTGAATTGTTTTCTTTCAGACATTTCATTACGAAAGTAGGCAATATCATCAGTGCTAGAGTGATAGCAGTTACCTAGTTTAATAATGAAAGGCCTGCAAGAAAGCAACCAAGCTCAGAGAGGATCAAGGACCCCACAGTTCAACCCTGAGGTAGAAATATTCTCTTCTATCAGTACATTAATGTAATAAACTTGCAAAATATGGTTTTGTAAGATTAGCATTTCATTCCTATCATTAAGATGGTTGCTAGCAGGAGTTCTGCTATTGTAATCTTTCTTGTCCGCTGTTCCTGCCAGGCTTGTTTTACATGCACTTGAGTCAGAGACACATTTATCAAGCAACTCGATGGCCTGTTCACAGTCAACAAATCAGTTCAGAACTACCACTTTGGAATGCTTCAAAACATGTATACTGTTCTAAAACTGAATAAAACATGTTGCTGTTACAATTCTAATGTATGCCTTCTTATCACCAAATGTGGGAAGAGTAATGGCTGTAAACAGTACCATTCTTATTATTTCCTTTAGCTTCTCTAGAATAAACATGACCGTAAATAACTATTTTATTTGCTTTAGAAAAAAACATTAGAATCACTTTTCTTTTTTCAAAGCTCATCTGGTACAATATGGCACATGTAAATGATTTTTATGAATAGCATGTTTTTATATTTTTATTAAAGTTTACAAATGTAAAGATATAAATATTAATGCAAATTAAGAAGAATATAAAGAAGAAAAAGTGAAGAGAAAAATAAAAAAAGATTTATAAAAATGATTTCTTCTTCCTCCAAATAAGTACCAACAATTTCAGGAATTTATGACCTTTTCTGATATTTTAATAAAATATTTGTACTTCTCATAATTCATCTATTATCAATTGATAAATTATACAATTTCATCATTCAGTCTGAATCAGCAAAAGTCCATTAAGAGCTATAGGAATATAATATATATTTTAATCTTGATGAAATAAGTCTACTTATATTGCTTCTTAAATCTACTTTTAAAAGCTTGATCATTAATCCATTAAAACAATGTCCCACAAGGCTATGGAGAGTCTCAATCATCCAGGTCATGGTTGTCCCAAAGGTGCTTTTTTTCTCTCAAAAGGCAACTGGACTTTCTTGATTTTGGTTTTTGTTTTCTTTTGAAAACCTTTTGCTTCTCATCCAAGAAGCTTCTTTGATGAGAAACAAAACATTTTTCAAAGAAAAAAAACCCCAAGAAAGTCCAGTTCCTTTTTCAGGGGAAAAAAAATCATTTGGACAATGTCCCACAAGTTGATTTCTTATCATTTTCTCTCAGAAACTCATTCAGTACGAGTCTCTTTTGTAAATCCAAGATAAGAAAGCTACTCAAGTCATTCTTCTGATTATTTGTATGTTCCCTTTTATTATTGTTTTATTATTATTAAAAGTTTAGCCAGTTTCATTTGTAAATCCAGAGTAGCATCATTTTGCATATCATTCTTGTAGTCTGGCATTTTTAAATCCAGTTTCAGATCCACATACAAATTAGTTCAGTCTCTATTTTGTCTATTAAAGCCTGTTTCTTTTCTGTAGCCTCTTTTAAATCCATTCTCTAGTAGCAGATAAATTAAAGAGAAATTTCTGAACAGATTGTTCCCAAATATCCTTGAATTCTTCCAAGTGAAATAATATTGGTCCATATATTTACATAAAATCTACAAATCTACATTCCAATCAAGATTTTTTAGAATTATTTTCAATATCTTCCTATATATTTTTTGTCAAATTTTAAACAACTCACAGGAAATATTCTTTCAAGTCAATAAGGCTTTCGTTTATAACTTTCCAAAATCAACATTCTAGTCACTTTTGCTTTTGTTCAAAAATAAGTTAAAAATTAAAATTCTTTTTACAGTCCTTATCTTACAATCCTTATAAAAATGTATTTCATCATATGTAGAAGGAAATTCAGTTGGTGTAATGAAAATTGTGCTTCTGAAGATTGTAAACATCCAAAAAAATCATTAGCAAGCAACATGCTACCGGTGATTAAGAGAGGAAGTATATGAATCCAGTATCCATTTAAAGGCATTGAATGATGGTTTAGGTGATATGTCTTTCCCCCAGCTCACAGACCTCTAAAACAGTCTTATTTCATGGGAAACCTCTGTGTGGAGCACCTGTGGGCAATCCTGGCCCTTTCCTTATCTATAGAGGTATTCCCAGGAGCCAGTCAATTCATTGGATCCCTTTTCTGTCACAGCATCAGTTCCTTTCTCAAGACCTAACTTTGCCATTACTTTCCCATAAGTTTGATTTTTATGAATAACACATTAAGTTATATTATAACCACTGTTATCAAAACCAAACCCAGTTTGTTTTATCTAACTTGCTATAAATCCTGGGATGATTTTCACAATGCTTTATGCTACTTGCCCCTTTAATAAGGAACTGTGGATATATGGAACTGTTATAATCAACACATGTAAAAATGGAATAATGGCCCAAAGCCAATTAAACAGCAGTCTATATTTATCAGAGCAAAATACAATTGACAAAGAAAAAATAGCTCAGGTCACTATCTAATTTTAATCACAAACACGAGGATTAAGCTGTATGTTAAAATGATATGGGAAGTAAAATACAATGGTATTTCCTGTGCCTGCCACACAAACAGATTAGAAGAAAACCATTGTAACATTATAAGAATGGATGGTGAGGTCCTGGCTTAGCTTCTATCCCAAGAAAGTGATGGAAAGCATGATTAAATTAGAAAATTAAACTAGTTAAATTAAAATAAAACATGATTAAACTAGAAAATTGGAAAAATGCCATGTTTTCAGGAAGGTGAAATTATGCCTTACCAACCTTTAATATTACTTGCAATTTAAGAACATACCAATACAAGAAGAGCCTTACTGGATCAGGTCAAGAGCATATCTAGTCCAATAATCTGTCAAGCACATCAGACAGATGAATGGGCCACGAAGGGGATAATTCTCTTCCATTGCTGCTCCTTAACACATGTTTTTTAAGTTTTACTGCCTTAGATTCCAGAAATAATCTACAGTAGTCAAGACAAAGAACCACCCACTGTTCTGTGCTCTAAGAATTTGCTGAGTCCCTTTTAAAATAATTGAAATTGGTGACCATTTTATCTATTAAAAATTTAACTATTTGTTCCATAGCCTATGATTTTTCTCACATTTTCTTTTAGTTATTATTAAGTGAGAGACAGAAAAAAAACTGCTCTCTATTTCCAAGCTACGTATGATTTTATAAATCTATAAAAAATAGAGCAGGGCTTTTCAACCTTTTCACCCATTGTACCATTTTTAGGATATGGCAACATCTGAGTACCACAGTCGCCTAACAAGGTGTCAAAAACTTGACCAAAAAAAAAAAGGAAAAAAGTGATAAAGTACAGGTAATTTTCAACTTACAACAGTTTGCTTAGTGACTGTTCAAAGTTACAATGGCACTGAAAAAAGTGCCCCCCAAGCCACAGCCAAGCAAGACACCTGCCTGCCCACCTGGCGGCACTCTTCCTCCTGTCCGAGGTTTTCATTGTGACCATTTCTGTTGAGGATTGGCAGCGGGGTGGGGTGGGGGGTGCTTGGTTTTTATTTCTCCTATCTGCTGGGTGGTTGCAGCAGGTTTTGGTTAATTCACATGACCCTGGGACACTTTGGCCATCATAAATATGAATCAGTTGCCAAGCATCTGAATGTAAATCCAAGACCCTGGAGATGCTGCAACATTCCAGCTGATCAGCGCTTCTTCTGGGCTCAGCAGAAGAACCAGGATTGGCGCCGAGCTCCAGCTGGAGCCTGGCACTGATCCTGGCGCTTCCGCTGAGCCCTGACAGCCCTGCAGCTCCAGCCTTCTCTTGCTCAGGCTTGTGCGGTGCTGCCACTGGTTCAGCTCATTCCCCTCCCCTGCGCTACCACTTTTCTAGGATGGTTGTGTACCACCTGCCAGGTGCCAATGTACCACAGATGGTTGAGCCCTGAATTAGAGAGCCAGTCTGATCTAGTGCTTAAGGCACCAGGCTAGAAACCAGGACACTGTGAATTCTAGTCCTGCCTTAGACATAAAAGTCAGCTGGGTGACTTTGAGCCAATCACTGTCTCTCAGTGTAACCCAGCCCATTGCACAGGTTTGCTGTAGGAAAATAAGAGGAGAAAGGAGTATTAGGCGTGATGAATTTGAACTATGTATAAAAATAATAAAAGAAGAATATAAATAAAAAAATCCTCCCAGAACACTTTTGTAACATAGAAAACCTGTTACATGATGCTGTTTAATTACTATAACTAGTCACCATTCCAGTTCCTCTAGCCCATAGACAGATATTCTACCTTTCTCCCTCTCCATCCAAAATGGGCAGATGTTAACACAAAGCATTTGATTAAAGCAACCAATCTCTTTTATTTTCAGAAAATGTTCACAGGATCTTTGTGGGTCTAGAATAATCCTTTAAAGTAAGTATGATGCTCTACTTTACTGAATTTCTCATGATATTCCTTTTTTTTTAAAGCTTTCTGGGAACATCCATATAACTATAGCTGAAAGCAAGATATTAAACTGTTATATGCTCTTTTTTTGTTTAATTCACTTAAAATACATGTTCTTGTGTCTGGGATATATATATGTCTATGTGGCATTTCATTTTTAGTATCACCTGCACCAACTCCTGGAATTGAATTGAAAACATTCAATGACTGGTGATTGGAACAGTCTTGCACTTTAATGTTGGCAGCTGCTCATTGAAATGATGAGAAAGACACAAGCACATGAGCTGATTTCTTGCACTCATGGTATTTGATACTTTGAATGGTAGCCAAGTTATAGCTTTCTTTTTCATTTATTATGATAATGAAAAATACTTTTTATCCCTATAACCCATATGGTTATCTTGGCTTGTATTAGTGGCATTTTTTTTAAAATAACTATAACAATTAGAAATTAATTGTGGTTACTCATTTGTGGAATTTATCCAAACTGTCCTGAATGGTGATATCAAAACAAGACAATGTACTGTGATGCAAATTATATATATTTTTGCTGTTCCATTGGAAGGGAAAACACTTCACTATATTTGCATCACTGAATTGAAAGAAAAGCTTTTCAATCATTTCCTCCTGACCTTCTGTTTGAACACAGCTCTCTAGAAATCTGTCTTGGCTCAAAACCTCACTGCCCTTGTTAGTGGGAAATTACAGGGCTGGACAGCATTAAAATATTCAGAAGGCAGATTGCAATTTTCTCTCCCCTCCCCAGTCTTTTTAATGAACTGCATGTTCATTATAGGGGAAGTCTGAGAATTAAACAGCACAAACTAGATTTTTCTAACAATCTCTGTACTTGGGAAAACAGATGGAGAACTGCTGGCATTTAAAAGCAAAACATCTAACAAAAATTATACCTCTTCATGATAAACCTTGCACCACCTTTTATCCTAATGTGTATAAGCTTCAAGGATGTTTATGATCATCAGGATACGGCTGTATAAGCTGTGATTTTTGCCTCATTAGACTTTTTATGTAGTCAACAAAAACTCATGAAGCCACTAAATTGAGTATTGTTCCACCAGTTGTAAACATACTCATGTTCATGAAAATGTCACTGATCTCCATAAATAAGCAAACAGCACATAGAAATACAAGTTTATTTTTTCTTTGCTTTTTTATTTACTATAGTTTGGATGCTGCTCAGCTCCAAATATCTCTGAGCCACTTATATCAAGCAACACAACAATAAAACAATTAAAATAGAATAATAATCAAAATAATATCAATCACTTCTCAATCATAACAAAGATAATAATTAAAACAATATAAACTACCAAACCTCTTTAACAGAGGTAGGTCATCTTAATTATCCCTCAATGTTTTCATAAAAGCTGTATTTTCTTCAAGATCCCAATAAGAAGGGATATTATATAAATATTGACCAAGAAAGAGAGTTACAGGTGTCTTTTTAATCACATGAAGCTGGAATGTCTTTAGATAATATTACATATTTTGCAAGTATACCATCTGTTGTCTTTAGGGAAGACATATATGATAGATAGACAGCCAGCCAGCCAGCCAGCCAGACACCGAGATGGAGACGGAGATGAAAAGATTTTGACTTACCCTAGTCGTATAGGCTGCTTCAGGATCATCTTCTAGAACACGGGACATACCAAAATCAGAAACTTTACAGACCAAGTTACTGTTAACTAGTATGTTTCGAGCAGCTAGATCCCGATGTACATAGCTCATGTCAGACAAATACTTCATTCCAGAACCAATGCCTCGGAGCATTCCTACCAACTGGATTACAGTAAATCTGCCATCATTCTTCTGAAGGGAAGGAATAAGGAAGATAAATAAAAAGAACATATTTGTGATTAATTATAGGTTCTTTTTCCAACTTTTTTGATTCTCCCTGAACCCACCATCAGAATTATATTTTAAAAGTGAATAAAGACAGATTTTTATGAGAAATTGCACTAGTGTCTGTACTGACTAAACAAATTCAAGCAGGCATTAGATAACAAATTGGTTCTCTCTGATCCTTTCCCTAAGCTACTTATAGGAAAGCATAAAAATATCATACTAAACATGCTCAATTTGTTGATAATTCACTTAAAAAGTGAGGTGATAAGGAACAATTCCTAAAAATCCAGCAGTGAGTATTCAAACAACTTTTACTGGTGAGAAAAGTAATATATTCTACACTTGAGGACTGTATTCCTCTTGGAACCAGGACCTCCTGTTGCTCAGTTCTCAAGAGGTGATGCATCTTTTAAAAACTTTCATACTGTACTACATTATTTTATTTCTTGCCATTGAACCTTATAATTAACTGGCAAAATATAATCCTGTGCTTTTTGCACTAGCTTCCTGGGATATGTGGAATGTTCCCATTTTAATTAACCAACAACAATGTGAGACTTTTAATAAGCATTTTAATCAAACCTGCTTCTGAGTAAACAAGGATTATTTAGAGCTTATTTTATGGTTCATTTACCCTCCCAGCAATAGAAATAGGGAAAAATGCACTAGTAAGCATCTCGAAACATAATTCTATTTCATCTTCAAACCCCAATAGATAAACAAAGATATTAAAGTATTTCTCGCTTTAGGTTTTATTACATGCCAAGTACCTACCCTGAGAAAGGCATCCAAAGAACCATTTTCCATGTACTCAGTTATAATCATGACAGGTTTACCTAGATGTTGGAGATAGACAACACAGAGTTCATAGATGCAGACAATTTGGTCAATGGATAGGGCTTTTTTATTTTTACTTTTTTTTAAAAAAAATCTAGAACTTCCTCAGAAAAGAATGAGCCAGAAAACAAATAATGTAAAAGTGTTAGTGAGTTTCAGCCAGAAAATTAGCACTTAAGCTAACTCACTGACAAAAGTCTTTAACTACAGTACACATCATAATCTCCAGAGAGTATAAGAATCCATAATTGCTCACTAAAGAGAAATGGAGATGCAGTAATAGACCAAATAGGCCTATTTGCACTTGGAGTAATGTAAAGATAATTGCATCATTTGCTAGACAATTTGTATGTCTGTAGGCATTTGGTTGAGAAAAATCAAAGTTATGGTTTGAAGGATACAGCCTGTCAGCTGTAAGCAAAAATCCAGGTGTGGCATCAACAGTAATTTTCTTTCTGTATAATTCATATGATTTTGTTTTTAATGTTTTAATCTTGCTTTATCCATTTGTTCTATCCTGAAAAGGCATGGAGAAATTAGCCAAATAAGTGATGCCATGCTAACCATTATGTTTTGAATCCATTATTATGCAATGCCAGCCATTGGTGTATTTATTTATAGATTAACTAAACACTATTTAATTCTTAAAGTATCTTTTTATGCATATTCAAACTTTTTAGAATCATTCAATGAACCATTTGCATATACCTGTTTTTTTTTTTTTTTTTTTTTATAGAAGGTTCCTGCTTCTTTTAGACAGACTTTCTAAAGTTAAGTGCATTGACCTGGGAGGAACACAGGTAACTTTTACTTTTTAATACTAAATTTGATTTAACATATCATGAATAGATCACAAAATGGTATATAATTCATAAGGAAGGAAGGAAGGAAGGAAGGAAGGAAGGAAGGAAGGAAGGAAGGAAGGAAGGAAGGAAGGAAGGAAGGAAGGAAGGAAGGATGGAAGGAAGGACCCCAGTAGGATCTGCTGAAATATTTGTCTGAGAAAATTGGATCCTGGAAAACATTTTCACATTGAAAAACTGCTATAATCGTTTCTAGATTAGCATATATTTCACCCAGTATGTTGTCCTAGCATGTTGCAATTCTAATATGGTCTCTCTTTAGAAATATTTTATTAGAAAACAATATGCTATAGGACATTAATAAGCTGAAGGTTTTTTTTTACCATTTTCATTTTAATGAGGGACACCTGATTAATGCCAGTTTCTTTAACATGTAAACTTTCACAGCCCCTCACACTGCAGCCATTGCCAAACTATTCTATCTCCTGATCTTGTTCAAAATTTGTTTACAATAAATATTTTTGTATGAATTACAAATCAGGCATCGGTGACCCTTAACTATCTAATTTGCATAAGCACAGACTTCTTTTTCACCCAACATACAGAAATCAAGGACAGAGACATTAGTATGAATTTAGATATTCTGATTAGGAATTCAATTATTTAAAGACAAAGGCTAAGCAAAGTCATTTGTTTTTATGTGTGAACGTTCACCTCTCCTCACATTCATCACTGAAAATTGAATCTACTTAGTACCAGTCTAGATATATTCGTGACATAGACTCTTTGCAATATGACTAAAGTCACCTAATAAATATATTTAAATGAATTTTAATTAATTTTCTTCAATTAAAAGACATTTTATAAATTTAAAAAGTATTATAACTTTTCATATGAATATATTAATTATTGGCTCTATTATACCTAAACAGAAGGTAGCTAATACAAGAATAAGAATAGAGACATGGATAATATGAAATTATTGTCTAATTCTATTGAGCTTTGATTTCTGCTTCAACATATGATATAACCTACATGGAAATGGGTGAACTAAAGGAATCCAATGGTTGGTTCAGTTTGGTTTCAACTCTGGGCAATAATTAATTGTCGAATGCAAAATGTGATATAGATTATAGAGGTTAACAAAATTCCAAATTTCAGAGAAAGCAGAAAGTATGCTCAAAACATAGCTAGAATATTTATATATTCACAAAATAGATACCACACTGGTCCCAGCTAATCACAGAATTTTGTTTTTCAAAAGGCAAACATTTCAGTGAAACTTTGTGAATCCTTCCTCCCTTAACAAATTTCAAAAAGGTGATACAAAAAACATAGCAGGCATCAAAGTGAAGACAAGGAATATAGTACATATCAAGGGAGGAATTTGAAAATACATATGTGTCTTACAGTATTTTGTTACCTGGTATATTAAACATGATGATAATCTATTAGATATAGATAACCATATAATATCCTTGCAGAATCTCATCATTTATCCGTAGAATAGAGCAATGAAGAATTGGAGTCTGCATGCTTTATTTAGTAAATATGGTAAATATGAAACACTAGGCATAGCCAAAGTTTCTGACACCATTTTGTTTTATAGGGAGGATGTGGGAAAGGGGACAGAATTATGTTAACCCCAATAGAAATGTTACTGTTTATTTCCACTATAAACCAGGGAAGTCAAACCTTAGTTTATTTTCAGAATGCTACTAAAATTCAGCAGCATGTTTCTTGGAGTCAACTCCCAATCCAAGAGAAGCAGTTTGACATCATGTAACCAATTTAAAATTTCAACTTAACACTGATTATGTATCTATACTACCTTGTTCCTTCTCCTATCATTTTATTCACACAAACATCAAAGACATTCTAACAATCTATATTATGTTATAATTTCAGGACTCATAAATGCACTATATATTTACGAACTCCTAATAATTCTACAGAGAAAACTGATGTGGGTCTGTTTACTAAAACCTAGATATATTCATAAAAGCTTGCACTCTAGGAAATCAGGCTTCAAAATTCACTTGTTTTGGCCTACAACCTTCTGTTGGGGATTTTAAATCATTTTAATGCAGTGACAAGTACATTATGCAAATACTATCTAGTCATTTATAACTGTTACAGCTGTAACAGCTTGGAGGTTAAAAGCCTCAGTGGGGGTTTCAGTATAAAGATTCCCCTGTTATTTGTCTGGTTTATTAAGGTGATATAAAAATCACTATAGCAAGCATGCTATGGACCAAACAGAAATGTCTTCTTTAATTAAAAAATTCCTGTAAAATCATTAAAAATGTTTATATCTTAACTGAAAATATTGTAGAATCTAGGAATCTGTTTCTTACAAACACTGGGAATTTACTACAAAGAAATTTAAGAACTTATTCAAAATGCTGAAACTGTAAGCAATTTATCACTATATGTTTTTAAGTACATCTGAAATTCTTGAAATAAGCAGGCTTTATAAAGAAGAATCAGCAGGATGTAAGTTAAACACTGGATTTCAAAGACAATATCTTCAAAAATGTCTTGCTTAGAAAGCATATTAATATTACAGGCTTAGAATAAGAAAGTAAAAAGGGCCCATTTTGGTCATGTACTTCCTGCTAAAGGTACAATCTAAAGAAAATTTTCAAAATTATAATTTGGGGAAGGCTGTCTAACACTCAGTGTTGGAGGAATTTGAGAGTTTTGAAAACTCTCCCTTCACCATAATGGTTTATAGAATTATATTTATTTGCCGATGGTAACTTTCTGCCTTTAAAAAGGAAGGAGAATAGAAGGTGATTCCACTGGCTGAATAAGAAATAATGGGTTAAATTCAGAGTTTACCTTGGTAACAACGCAGAAACAACAACAACAAAACTTCTTCTTCAAGTTGCACATACATTTTAATTGTTTTCCTTCCACTGATAATATACCATGCCACATCCAATCTATTTCTGACTAATCACCTGACTCTCAGGATTGTTTTTTGAGGGGACAAGATGCTTAGAAATGACTATATTGTTTGTATTTCTCTAATTTCATTTTTTTGCTGTTGAAATAAATTTAATTCAGTTATGATCTTCACAACAATACTTTTATTTATTTATTTTAGCTAAGGCAAGCTTCACAGATACATTTTAGTTCTGGCCAGAAAATAATAATAATAATAGTAGTAGTAAAGTTGGAAGGGACCCTGGAGGTCATCTACTCCAAACTCTGCTTAGGCAGGAAACCCTATACCATTTCGGACAAATGGCTGTCCAGTCTCTTCTTAAAAACTTCCAGTGTTGGAACATTCACTGCTTCTGGAGGCAGGTTGTTCCACTGGTTAATTGTTCTAGCTGTCAGCAAGTTTCTCCTTAGTTCTAGGTTGCTTCTCTCCTTGATTAGTTTCCCTCTGTTGCTTCTTGTCCTGCCTTCAGGTGCTTTGGAAAACAGCTTGACTCCCTCTTCTTTGTGGCAGCCTCTGAGATATTGGAAAACTGCTATCATGTCCCCCCTCGTCCTTCTCTTCATTAAACTATACATACCCAATTCCAGCAGCCGTTCCTTATATGCTTTAGCCTCTAGTCCCCTAATCATCTTTGTTGCTCTTCTCTGTACTTTTTCTAGAATCTCAACATCTTTTTTACATCACGGTGACCAAAACTGGATAAAGTATTCCAGGTGTGGTCTTACCAAGGCATTGTAAAGTGATGTTAACGCTTCACATGATCTTGATTCTAGCCCTCTGTTAATGCAGCCTAGCACTGTGTTGGCCTTTTTGGCAGCTGCAGCACACTGCTGGCTCATATTTAGGTGATTGTCCACTAGGACTCCGAGGTCCCTCTCACAGTTACTACTATTGAGCAAGGTACCCCCTATACTATACCTGAACATTTGGTTTTTCTTGCCTAAATGTAAACCTTACTTTTTTCACCATTGAATTTCATTTTGTTAAACAGTGCCCAGTGTTCAAGTTGGTTTGTACTCCATTCTTCCTGAGACCAGACCTCATTGATATGCTGAATATTAACTGCCTTAAGGGAAGGGAAATTTATATATATATATATATATATATATATATATATATATATATATATATATATATGTATATGTATATGTATATGTATATGTATATATATATATATATATATATGTATATGTATATATATGTATATATATAAATAAAACCACATTTGTCTGATATGGAAGCATACATACATACACACATACATACATACACACACACACACAGACACACACAGAGAGAGAGAGAGAGAGAGAGAATGTGTTTTTTCAGACAGACGGTCTGATTGATTGCACCTTTGGCATTCTTGACTGCTATACTGCAGTTCTACTTTTTAATAATCTTTTTTGCCTTGCAGCCCCCCAACTAGGGGTGTTAAGCAGGCTCAAGTTGCTACTGCGACACATTACAAATTCAGATTTCTTTTTGCTGACAAGATAGATAGATAGATAGATAGATAGATAGATAGATAGATAGATAGATAGATATAGATATAGATATATGGAGAGAGAGAGAGAGATTATCTTCCTTCCTTCCTCAATATCACTTTAAAAATAATGGGGAACTTTTAAACTGTCCACAATTTCTAAAAACAAACAACCCTTTCACCGTTTTCCTCCTTTTAAAAGTTGTGGTATCATGTTCCTTGTTAAATTATGCATAAGTTGTTTCAAGATAAGGTATCAGCTACAATGATAAAACCATTTACTGCTGACAATAAGATTAATGACTAGTCCTGCACTGATTTCCTATTATTAGCACTCAGTGGATCTATTCCATCTGTCATTTTAGAAAAAGAAATGCTGGAAGGGGAGAACCTCTGCACTGATTTTCATAGCCACTTTCAGTTTGTCCTGCTTAAGTCATGGCCTCATACACATTAATGACATATCATGGCCAACATACATTTAGTGACTACTCCTTCCAAGTGGATGATGTTGGGATGATCAAATTGTCCCATTATGCTGGCCTCACTCAAAAAGTCCCTTCTTTGTTTGTCTGTGTAGCCAGCTTTCAGCGTTTTGATAGCCACACAGATCTCCCTCTTTCCTGGAACCTTGAGACGGCCACTGCAAACTTCACCAAATTCACCTGCAGAAAAAGAAGCATGATAAAAAGGAATCTGCTGACACACATACATTGTTTTAATGCAATTAAGACCTGATTAAATTCCTTCCATTAAGCACTGAGAAGCTTTTGTCTGGCTTAGGCTACCTGCAATCCCAAAGTCCCTTTGCAACTTCCAACTGTGTATTTCCTGTAGATTTCATTTAGCATCATTTAAAAATATGGAATACCATTAAAAAATGGAAAATTCAGTATCCAATTGCATTTATGACATAGAGCCATACATTTTACATCACTGTTATGTGTATTGCATTCTTTTTTCTTCCTTCTCCCCAATTAAGTGCAATCTGTGGGCACACAAAGATTGCCCATCTTAATTCAATTGAATTAAGTTTGGTTGATAATATGCCTACTTCACTTGGATTGATTCTATTATTTGCTCTTTTTGCTTATTTGAAAAAAATACTACAGAATATGACTTGTAAAAACAGAAATATAATAGACTTGTTCCAGTCATCCAAATTTACATGTTGAAAAGTTAAAAACTGGATCTCCTCAGAGAGACTGTAAACTATTTTATTCAAATGTCTTTGAAAAATGCCTGAAGACTGATAATAGATAGAAGAATGTTTACATAAAAAATAATAATAAGCCAACAATTCAACATCCCAGTAAGAATTCACCATTATAAATTTAGTGCTAACATGATGTCTTGAACTTACCGACACCTATGACTTTTTCAATCTTTATACATGAGGCATCAATTTCTTTGGCAAATTCCCGCACAGCTTGGTTGGGATCCTCATAAGTAAAGGGATCTACATAGGTTCTGACACCTAGAATGCAAATATGATTTTCTGAAAACTTAAGAACTACATACAAGATAGATAAATATATAGGGAACGGACATTGCTGTATGTCGACAGAGAATTACAAAAACTATATAAAGAAAATAATATGCTCAAAATGTCTCATCATGAATACATTGCACAGATGGATGGAAGATATTAAAGTCAGATCCTATAACAGACCATACATTTGGGGGAGATGGGAAGGTGTTTTCTTGAGTTCCAACAATAAGTTTGAGTTTTCTGTAACTTACATGAGGAACAATAATGAGTATGCATATCCTTAAATTTTCTATTGATTTCTATGCTCATGTGGAAAGGACTCCAATGAGAATTTAAGGAAGGAACAATTCTTATAAGTTCTATATCAGGAATGTCAAACTCGTAACATCACATGACGTGTCACGACATATCATGACTTTTTTGCCATTGCCAGCAATGGAGTGGGCACAGTTTTGCTATGAGGCATCCGGCCCACGGGCTGGCAGTTTTACACCCCTGTTCTACATCTTAGAAATCTTTTCATCTATTGACCATTTAAAAATCGTATCTATACAAAGAAAATTTTTGCAATAGCATGGAAAAGAGAAAATGTGAAAGATTACTTTCTTTTTGTGTTCAAATACTATACTAAATCATATTGCTTAAATGCCCTGAATTAACCCAACTCATTAGGCCATAAATCATGATATACATATTTTTAATAGCTTGGACCATACAATATGTTAAGGAACAAACCACATCATATCTGAAGGATACAATGTATAATTCCAGACTCTATATCCCAAGCCTCAGAATGTTTTCTCAAATGAAAATCTTTGCTCCTTTTAAGTATCATCTGAATACTATGTAATAGGCTGCAGCTTTTATAGGGATTTGCATGCATATACATTTTCTATAGTAGCATTGTCAATTATGAAGTTACCCCAGTAGAAATACAAATACACAGTTTGAGTGAAAAAAACTTCATATAAAGAAAACTAAGCAATAGAACTTGCAAAACATTATTTTTTGCTTTATATAGACTAATTTTAAGAACGCATGCAAGAGAAGAAAATCAAGCACTACTGACTTTTACCTTGATTTAAATGTTTTTCTTCATCTGCTTCTTGCTTAGCTTTACTGTATTTGCTCCTTCTGTAGAAAAGGGGGAAAAGTATTTCAGATTAAAAGAATTATCTAACTAGTGGTAAATGCAGAGAGATATCTGAATTTCTGGATTATTTTACAGTAGATGCCAACATTTATTCTATCAACTATCACAGGGTTGGGATAATTTAAGGCCTACTTGAAATAGATATTGCTGTATAGCTTGCATTGTACTAATTATTATCTACATCTATAGATACATATAATCAATGGATATTTGGGGAAAATATTCTGCATCAGTATTTTGCTACAAAAGAATATACTTCTATGATCAGACACATTTGTTTTCATTTCTGCTAATCAAGAATGTGGTGGTACATCACATCTGTGAGCTGCATTTGTTGTCAGCTAGCTTACAAATATTATTCAAGGTGCTGATGATCATTCATAAATCTTTTATGGCTTAGTGCCTAGTTACATAAGGACTGCTTATCTCCATGCTCTACACATCCAGTGAAATGTGGCAGAGTGAATACCTTTCAGGTCCCCTCAATTAAATAATGTCAAGTGTGCCTTTTCTTATACAACACCTGCCCTCTGTAATAGTAGGGCTCCATAAGATGTTGGAAAACTGTTTATTCTCCCACACCTTGAAGTAGGATGGTGGTGACCCTTCTAATATTTGGTTTTGCTTGGCATACTTTTTAAGACAAATGAGCGGCGTGGTGGCCTGGTGATGAAGATCCTCGCCTTCCACTTGGAAGGTTGAGAGTTCAATCCTAGGTAGCGGCAGATGTTTCCTAGGGTGCAAAGAAAAAATATCTGCTGCAAACTCTGCATAGTGTCAGGAAGGGCATCTGGCCAGTAAATGTTCAGTTCCATCCAGTCATCCCTAACTCTACCCTGAATTAAAGATTATAGGGTCATAAAAGGTTTTTTTATTATTTTTAAGACAAATCTTTGTTCATTTACTTTTTTAGTCTGGCTTTTAATTATGCAAAGTATCCAGAGTCACTAGGGGTCTAGCTTTTAAAAAAAATGTTTGTAAATAAGAATAGAGAAAGACTGGAATTAATTATTGTAGCCATCAGATTTACAAATAAAATATCTGGTCCTTGGCTGATATTTGGACAGTGTTGCAATGGCAACTACTAACATGTATTTGATTACGCTATTTATACTTTGCATAATGAAGCATCAAAACTATTCATATTATTGCAATATATGGTGTATCTTTAATCTTCAATGAAGATTAAACAATAAACAAAAGCAGCAAAAACAAAGAAATGTAACAGATTGGTTAAGGAAGGGATTTTCACATAGTTAGAAAGAAATAACCATGTGATCCTAATATATGTCTCCATAAATTTCTAGGGTCTCAGGATTCAATTCAGGGAATGTTCTTTAAATATAAGTCTCATTAGATATAATTTAAAACATTCTTATTTTGACACTATGGTGTTTTAGCCTTTTTCTTCCTTTTGCGTTTCTGGGACCTGTTAATATTTCCCAGCATCAGGACATCCATAGCTATCCCAAAAAATAGTTTGGGATATGCTGGATAAATCTGCAAAGAACAATGAAAGTGACAATCACTTGTAACCAATTATGAGATTTGCCATTATTCTTTCAAAAGCATTAAGCCAGCTAATCAGCCATGGGACCTGGGAATTCCAGACATTGCAATCCTCATACATTTCTAAGATATCAAAATGGGCAAAGTTGATTAAACTATTTTAATTATGACTAAACAGATATTTTCTTCAAAATGAAATACTAAAAAGATGCCACAGGATGAGTAATGCCAAATTTGATCCAGTGTCTCTAAAAGTGACATGAACAAAATTCATTGTGCATGCAAACTATGCTCCTGAGGTTGTGGACTCCTGCATCATTACCATGCCAAAAATTCACAAGTACATGACAGATTAAACATTATATCAACATTTCAATCAAAATCTTGACACAAACACATAGATTTCTGTTCAAATATGGGAGAGAACAGTTTACCATGCAAACATACATAAGTTTATTATGTATTTAATCAAAGTAAAGAAACTGGTGACTTTAATATCCTATTTATTATATATTCCTATTATACCCTGTAATGATTGGAATAAATGTTTTTATGTATTTATGTATGACAGATTGTTCAGACAAAATAAACCTAATAAATATTTTTTATCTTTGATTAACAAGAACCTCTAAAATCAAAACTCTAAAAAAGGGGGCAGTTAAAAGAAGGCAGGAACTACTTTTCAGTCTACTAATTATACCCTATTAAGCTCTAACAGAGGCTTCCCAACCCACTCTTTACTTAAGTTCTCTCTTTATCACCTGTTGAGCTTTTGCCCAGAATTGGAGACTACTGGACCTTTTCTTTTGAAAAGATACTTTCTTTCTTTCTTTCTTTCTTTCTTTCTTTCTTTCTTTCTTTCTTTCTTTCTTTCTTTCTTTTCTTTCTTTCACTTGTTTAATCATTAGTAGGGTCTGGGAAGTGCTCAGGATGACTGAGAAATGCTGGACACAAATTGACATTTGTAGACAGCTTACCTAAATGACAGCAAAGGAGCCTTTTGTCATATTCAGCTCTATAATTATAGGGATTTGGGTGACAGTGGTTAAATGGAAGGCGGGTTCAGGAAGGGAATATAAGCACCGTGAAAAAACCCTAGGGGTCAGAGATCCAAGCAAGTCTACAGGTGGAATTTAGAGATAAAGAAAAGGTGGACCTTAAAACTGGCAGGCACATATAGCACATGACAAAAAGTAAGTGCAAAGAGTATTAGCAGGTATTGTAAAGAAGCAGCATGCGATCCACATTCTTCTTTCTTAGTCAATGCATCAGTTTGCAATGTCAGCATTCACAGAGCAAAGTGGAAAAACAAAGACCAACAAAAACCTTAAAGAAGCTTGGATTCTCTATTGAATTAGAAGATGACCTGTGATCATATAGGTTTCCCCAAATTATCACTACAAAGCAATGGAATTCTTAGTTACTGAATCCTAAATTATTGATTATAATAAACAACCTTCAGCAAAATATCACCTAATGAGATAAAACATATTAAACTACTCAATTTCCTTTTTAAAGCAAAAGCGAAAACCTGTTACTGAACAGTTTTCCATTTCTTTTTTTGAACCTACTACCCTTTATTTACTTATTGAAAACTTTATGTACTGCTCTTCCAGGGGCAATGCAAGCCTGAGAATATAGTATAAACATATAGTAAAAAAAACAAACATATTACAATCCCAAAAATAATACAAACAAAAAACCCATATCTAAATAAAATCAAATACATAAGACAATCAATAGAATTGATTTTGTGATTAATGAAACATAAGTAAAATCCATGGTTTGAAAATGGTTTGTTTGGTGTAAACTGCTGAGAACTTCTACTATTTCTATTAAATCATCATACATCATACCCTTTGACAAACAGTTCATTTTTCCTGCATAATATGAGATATTAGCACTGGTATCAGAAATGCAAAGCTTTATTGAAGAAATCGAATCTTGTAAGAGAGGGTACCCTTACATAAAAACACAACAGCTCTGCTCTATCAGATCAATGATGCATATGAGAAAGCTAAATAAAACAGAGAAGACGATAGCCCTCTGTGGATTCCTAGCTGCTAGAATTTAAAGCATGATATCTATTATTCAGGTGATATATATATTGAGGTAAACAGGCATTGATGATTTTAATCCTATTATTTTCTGAATTTAAAGCATGATATCTATTATTCAGATGATATACATATTGAGTAAACAGGCACTGATGATTTTAATCCTATTATTTTCTGAAATCTCTTTTTACAAATATCTAAATTTAAGGTCAGCACAATTTATTGTGGAAATAAATTCTATAATTTAAATACTATAGCTTAAGTATGAATTTATTATACACAATTGTTCAAACCTACATGACAGAGAGGTCCAGAATGTGCTAATATAAAGTAGTTAAACATTGGTAACATACAGTAATCATTATCAATAAGCTGTTTGTATAATACTATAAGTATAATATAATTATAAAATAGTTCATATATAAAGTAACAAAGAAGTAAGCTATCTATAAACTCTGCATACTTCATGTTTCAAAAAAGTTGACTTCCAGTTAATTTCTTCCTCCTGTAGATTATCAACACTTTTGAATATGGTATCACTGACAATCTATTAGGTGATGAACTCCATATGGCTAACATATGCTCAGTTAAAAGAAATATTTTCTCCCACATTTTCTCTCCCTCTCTCTCTCTCTCTCTCTCTCTCTCTCGCTCGCTCGCTCTCTCTCTGTGTGTGTAGGCATGTAAAAAGACTAAGCAATTTAGATCACAAATACATTTGTATTAAAACAAGAGAAGGTAATGTATTAAATCTAACTTCAGAAAATAATTGTTTTTGCTTCAACACAATTTGAAAGTCTTACGTAGAAACTTTTTTGTCTTTAACAGTTTTTAAAACTTTAAACATCTGTTACAGACCATGATATTTTGTGTTTCAATTTCAGAACAACACAATTCAATCCAATGGCCATTTGCATCCTTTTATAATAAATTCACAAGCAGTTGGGCCAAGCATCCAAGCTTTTTATAAACCACATATTTGTTTTTGTCAATTTGATGTATACACAGTTATCTGGTTTCAGCTTTATACTGATATCAAATTTGATGAGAATAAATAGGAGGGCAAGGAGTTGACATTTCATTTTCTAAGAAGTGATCCAGGGAAGTCCAATTACTAGAGTATGTTTATCTGACTTCAGAGGTGTTAATTTAAATAAAATAAAAATGAGGAAGTGGGGTAGGAATTATCTTAGAGAACCTCAACAGGGACAATTCTCTAAGGTGCTCACTTGTAATTAGAAATCCAAAGCATCTAAGTATCAATCCTGTCTTAAATAATAAAGCAATCAATAAAAGCAGAGAAGGAATTCAAGTATGTTCAGCAACACTATTTTCTGTTGGAATAGCTTTTAATAAAGCTATTTCTCTGTGCTGTATTTTCATAGATTATTTTTCTCTTATCAGCATGGAAGCTCGTGAAACTGCTAAACACCTACTGAAATCTATTATAATGATGACTAGTTCTCAGTTTGTATAACTGCATGGCTTATATAACTGCTTTTCTTTTAAAAAACAGAAAAAAAAAACAAATTGAAATGATATAAGAATACATTAGAAAGTATATTATCTTATTCTCATAATCCCAGATTATATCATCCAGTTTACTTTCTTATTTTCAATTGAGTTTATTAGAAGACTAGAAGCAGATCAAAACACTAAAAGATTTTTTAGTATCTTAATGTTCCAACAGAAAATATGCCGAAATAAAGCTTGAGTCACAAAGCATATGGACCAGGAAATGCTATGTTAACTAGATCTGGATATTGACCTTTCTCAATACAGTATGAACAATATAGCCTTCTGTTTTATTTACTGACTTTGGAGCAACAATTTTTTTCCCAAGAAAAGAGATAACCGGTGCCAAACACTAAAACTTAAAATTTGTCATCTTGAGCCAGAGTGTTTTTATGGTCACTAGAATTGTAATACAATATTAGAAATCCTTTAGTAGTGTGAAGCCAAACTTATTCAATCTAGGAAAGTATTATATATGCATACTCTATTACTATTATTATTTTGAAGGATGGGGGGAAGCGATGGATTTATCAACCCTTTTCATTGAAATGAAACAGGACATCTGTTGGAATTAATATTCTCTAATGAACAATGGAACATATGGGGCAATGGAACACGCTGCTATTGGAAATTACTTATGCAGTATAGCATAGTAATCTTTAGGGGTATGCAAAATGTTTTGAATTTGAACCATTTCAAATTTGAAACAATTCATCTTGACTTCAAAATGTCCTGCTTCAAAGAGAAAAAGCTGTTTCAAGTGTGAAATAGGCTGTTTCCCTTAGAAGTGTTCTGAATTTGAAACAGAATGTTTTACTTCTGGAACAGAGATGTTTTCTTTTCAAAACATTTCCACAATGGCTCAGAGCACCCCATTCTGCATTGGAATATAGTAGTTTTTTCACTCGTAGCAGGGTGTTTCCAATTTAAACCAGAGTGAATTTCAAGCACTATGCACACCTCCAATTTTTATTTCTACAGTTTATGCATCATATATCACAGTTCCAAAACCTCATTTTTTTTTCTCTGTTCAGTGGACTACTGGGAAAAGGACAGGAAAGTCTTGCCAGAAATAGAATAGCTTTGTAAGCACTTTTAAAATGAGGGCAAAAGCCACATAAAATTCAGTAATAGGCTATCTAACCTTGTTTTAATCCTATCTAAATTCATACTTGATATCCATGCATTAAATAACAGAACATCAGCAGATTGTCCCCTCACTGTGAATTACTGGAAATATCTTTATATTTTATTTGATTGTTTAATATTTATTGTTAATTCTTGCATGGATTCTTACAAACTAATAAATAGTAGATTTACACATTTTTATTCAGCCATGGAATGGGAATAAAAGGAAGAAAAAGGAAAAATAAAACCTGGTAATTTGATTTTGGTATAATCCGAATAAAATGATATATACAGTAGGTTGCCTAAATGATTCATTCCAATTCCTTGGTGCTAAATGAATAAATGGTATACATTTCCTTATTAATACGACATACTATATTATTACTATTACAGTACTCGTCTTCATTTGGGAAAAAAATAGCAGAAAAATAAAGAAACATGTACCGTAAATGCCGGTGTATAAGACGACTTCTGCGAGCGCTGAAATCGGCGCCAAAGATGGGGGTCGTCTTATACGCAGAGTCGTCTTATACGCCGGAAATACTGGTAGTTTCCGGCGTATAAGACGACGTTCTAGGAATGCGGCCCGGCTATAAAGACGGGGGTCATCTTATACGCCGGGTCGCCTAATACGCCGGCATATACGGTAATAAATATATTTAATAACATATTGTAATAAAATATATTCCTCTCATTTCCCTGTTAAATTCTGGAAATGCAGAAAAGCATGGGAATTAGAAAAACCATTGTTTAACCCATTGTTTACAATCTTAAAAATTGTGAGAGATTCTCTCACTTTAGTGGTTGTTCAAATGGTGATTAAAGAATTGATGTAAGGTTTTATAGGTGTGTTTTTCTTTTAGTATTAGGAACTAAGATGTATGGGTTAAAGGCTGGCAATGGAGACTCTAAGGCTAGCCAACAGAAGCAAAATGTGAAAGAGAACACTTTTTTTGTATACATCAAACCTTTATTCTAAAAGAAAGATAAAAAACTGACTGCAGAAAAAGACCTAGTAGTCTATCAAGTCTGCCCTTTGAGTTTTTTTGTTTTTTCTTTCTAATTTATGTATTTTTAACTTTTACTTTTTATTTATTAATTAAACTTTGTTCACATTTGTGAAATCTTTTTCCTGTCTTCTTACTACTTCCCTATCCCATTGTTTCACTCCCCTCCAGCCAGACTATCTGGTAAGAAACAGATAAATCTTTCCAGAGATCTTCTTCTACTTTCCTACTCATTCCATTAACTTCCTTCTGTCCCATTCTCCACACTTAGAGAAGACTTTTTTCCCCCAACTTCCATTGTGCAATGCTTTTCTTTCCTTATCTTCTTTCTCTGTCCCTACAAATTTTTCACCAGTGGATGAAACTAAACCAAGAGAAAGATGAGGTCTTTCTTCTTGCAAAAGAAAAAGAACCTACTTGTCTGCCAGCCCTAAACCCCTTTCATGTACAGATGGTACTGAGTTCCAAATACGCCGTATTTCAAAGAAATATTTTTTATTTATCTAATATTGTCCCTTTTTGCTTTGCCCAAGAAGAAAGCAAGATAATTTATGCTTGAATAAACAAACAAAAAAAAAACTTTCACCTGTGAAAGTATGAGTAAAAGCTTTCTTTTCCTAGACTTTTAATTTAATCTGGCTGGTTTACCCACTATGGAATATATAAGTGTCTTCTATTGTGTTCCTCACAGCTAACAACAGCTGATGTGGCCAAATGCAGAGGTGATTAGAAAATCAAGAAAGGCATTCTTTTTACTGGGTATAAGCTCAAATACAGGAGTTTGTTTCATTTCATCTCCCCAGAACTCCTCCTCTGGCTTGGCACTCTTAGCACAGAACTCATCAACCCAGAATAATGCATTCATTAAATTCTACATCAAATTACAGTCTCTCTTCAGATCTCGTTGCTGGCTTGCATCTTAAAACCTCCCACCACCACCCCCATAGCTAGAATTGGTTTTGCATCTGAACAGCAAATAATTCTAGAACAATTACCATTACATTACATGCTGCTGTGGTACTGATGCTGAGAAGATCAAAGCAACACAGGAGAAGTCTTGTGATGCAAATGTAGTGTTTATGATGCTAATCAAAGAATTTAGCTTTGTTTCAAGGAGGCAAAAAGCTCCCTCATGAAAGAAAAAGGAGAAAGAAGGGGAGCTTAAAACCTTACCTCCTACTGATGACAAAGGCAGCAATGAGAATGACTACGAGGACAACACTGCCAGCCACTGAGACCAGAAGGACGGTGGGATTGGTGCCTTCCCCAATGATGGGAGAAGGAACTAGAAAAAAACACACACAATATTTGTTAAGATTCTGCAGCAGTTATGCACAGATAAAAATAGCACAGGATCAGAGAGTGAGGTATGTGCAGTTTATGTGAAGATAAAGGCAGTTCATGATTTTGTCTAGAATTATTCTGCTATTATATATAATTATTCTATTATTCTTTTCAGTAGGTATTCATTCTTAATTCTTTTCCAGGAGAGTCCTAATTAGTAAAAAAGACATTATGCTCCACAATGAATTTTGAGACAACTATTTGGTTTTCTCCCTTCACTTTTACTCTTGAGAATATAATGGCTGATTTAATGCCCGCTGAGCTGCTTCCCGTTTTATTTGATTTAAAATGGACCAGATGCTCATTCCTTGACTATGAGCAAGAGGAAGACTCAAACAGAACAAGATGTTTTCCACTGTCTTCAGCGACATAGAGCACTTCACATTTTCACATGCTCCGCCTGAGGGTTGTTAACACTGAACAGCACAACCTGAACTGATTAAAATTTCTTCATGCAATGAAAATTAAGCATCCAATCTCTCCTGTTATTTCAAGAAGCAACTATGTTTTTTTAACATTTGTCCAACAGACACACACATGCACAATATTGACATTTTATTTCTGAAATGAATTGGAGAAGAGAAAAGAATAGCTAGATGTAAAACAGTCCCTAATTATATTGAACAAAGTTTTCCTCTTTGGCAGAAAGGCAGCAGAATGGCAGTTGGACTTGATTGTCTGATTGCTGGAGAATGAACTAGAATAGGAAGGAAGTGAAGATTCAAAGCTGTTAGCTACTGGCCCATCTAGAATGATTACTTCATGGGAAAAAGTTCTCTAGCATTTCATATCCTCTCATTCCTAAATGTGCTATACAACAGAGAAAGCCCAAAGTATATTGAGGCTTAAAGTCAAGAACAAGTCGACACCCTCATCTATCCAACATGTGTGCAAACTGATTGGACTGACAATTCATAAACGACTCATTACTATTGTTTTAGGGAACTGTGCAGTCAGGAATATTCAAAAGTTCCATGTCAAGTACAGAAGTATTTAGAAAAGGAAACCAATTGTTACATTTAATATAATTTATAATTGTCTATGGAACCTGACTTTTAGTATACTTTGCAAATCTACCATTAATTAATAAATTGAATAGAAAAATAATATTTGTTGTTGTTGTTGTTGTTAATTGCGAAGTCGTGTCCGACCCATTGCGACCCCATGGACAATGTTCCTCCAGGTCTTCCTGTCCTCTACCATCTTCTGGAGTCCATTTAAGTTCACACCTACTGCTTCAGTGACTCCATCCAGCCATCTCATTCTCTGTCGTCCCCTTCTTCTATTGCCCTCAATCTTTCCCAGCATTAGGCCCTTCTCCAGTGAGTCCTTCCTTCTCATTAGGTGGCCAAAGTATTTGAGTTTCAACTTCAGGATCTGGCCTTCTAAAGAGCAGTCGGGTTGATCTCTTCTAGGACTGACCGGTTTGAACGCCTTGCAGTCCAAGGGACTCGCAAGAGTCTTCTCCAGCACCATAGTTCAAAGGCCTCAATTCTTTGGCACTCAGCCTTTCTTATGGTCCAACTTTCACAGCCATACATTGCAACTGGGAAAACCATGGCCTGGACTATACGCACTTTTGTTGGCAGGGTGATGTCTCTGCTTTTTAGAATGCTGTCTAGATTTGCCATAGCTTTCCTCCTCAGGAGCAAGCGTCTTTTAATTTCTTGGCTGCAGTCCCCATCTGAGGTGATCTTGGAGCCCAGAAAATAAAATCTGTCACTACCTCCATTTCTTCCCCATCTATTTGCCAGGAATTGAGAGGGCCGGATGCCATGATTTTGGTTTTCTTAATGTTGAGTTTCAAGCCAACTTTTGCACTCTCCTTCTTCACCCGCATCAAGAGGCTCTTTAGTTCCTCTTCACTTTCTGCCATTAGAGTGGTATCATCTGCATATCTTAGGTTGTTGATATTTCTCCCGGCAATCTTAATTCCAACTTTTGATTCATCTAGCCCTGCCTTTCTCATGATGTGCTCTGCATATAAGTTAAATAGGCAGGGCGACAGTATACAGCCTTGCCGGACTCCTTTTCCAATTTTGAACCAATCAGTGGTTCCGTGTCCAGTTCTCACTGTTGCTTCTTGACCCGCATATAGGTTTCTCAGGAGACAAATGAGATGGTCTGGTACTCCCATCTCTTTAAGAACTTGCCACAATTTGTTGTGATCCACACAATCAAAGGCTTTAGCATAGTCAATGAAAAAATAATATATGTTTCATTAAAATATTGAAAACAGTTTGCCTATAATATAAAGATAACAATGAATGTAAGTAGAAGGGTAATGTTATTATTTTATTTCATCTCTTCTTGATAATTTCCTTGTGGCATTCTAAACATAGGAACTCAAGTTTATACTTATGTTTGGAAGTTTTAAATCCTGAAAACTTCCAAACACAAATGACTCAATATAATCCAAGGACCTATTAGTCTTTTCACAAAAAAGTAGATATGAGGATGTTGAAATTAAAGCCCTATCTTTCCATCTCTAGTAATGTTAGTGACATGCTTCTTTTTTCTCTCTTTTCCCATTGCTGGAAAAGGTTTGTGAGTATAATGTAGACAGAGTAAAGGAGACAACATCCTTGCATTTCAGGCACACACAAAAGAGCACACTTCCAACTGGACTCTTGGTAAAAGCAATAAAAACAACAAAAACACATGAACACAGAATCCTTTTGTTGTCTTAGTCAAAGCTTGGTAATGAATTCCAAACCATCATCAACAAATCATTCATATTCAACTCAAGTGCATACAATAGGCTTTTGAAATAGTGACAAGGGAAAATTCCTCCCTTACCCCAGTGAGAGATCTATTGTTATTACCTGTGTTGGTTGTGAATTCAAAGGGTCCACTGAAGTCTCCATATCCAGCTGCTGTCCTTGCTCGCACATGAAAGACATATGAAGTCAAAGGATTCAAACCCTTGATATCAGTATTTCTGGTTGCTGTTTTCACAATGCGATAGCTACGCTCATTTTGGTCCTAGCAAAAAGAAAGAAACATAAAAAGGAGGAGGAATGTGAATAAGGAGATCTCCTGAAGGTCTTGGATCTTTGTAGTTTACTATTAGGAAATATAGTCACATTTATATAATGAATGTGATTTTTCTTTTAGTGTTTCTATTATTAGCTTTAATGACATGAGTGTTATAGACTTTTATATTTTGTCAGAGGATTTTTCTTGTCTGAAAAAGCAAAGAGAATATCTATAATTTAAGCTCTGCTGGGAAAAAAGGCAAGAATTTTTTTTGGGGGGTAAAATAACAAAGAAGTTGTCATCCTCTTCCTAATGAACTAACAATGTTTTATTTCTAGTAGTCTTTTCACACATTCTCCTTTTTTCTTTGCAATTTAGAACTATAAGTCCTAAAATAACTGAAGGGATGGCTGCCAATCTTCCCCAACGTTTTCTGCTTTTCTGCTGGCAAATACATCAAGAAAAAAAAATACTGTAATCTTGTTCCAGGAAAAATCTACAACTCATTTTTGATACAATTAGGAAAGGAAATAAAGTGATTATATTAAAAGAAAAGAAATGGAAAGGGAGAGAGAGAGAGAGAAGAAAAAAGTAATTGTTCATTTTGCAGACAACCTTGAGAGGAAATAGATCTTTTTATAGTTCTGAATTGGAGGAGCAACAAATTATATTATAGAAATAACAATTCTGCACAATTTGAAAGAGGTGAAGAATGTAATTTTCTTTTCCTTGTTTCCTATTAAAATTTATTAAACCCCCACTATCATTCTGGGCAAAAGCTATCAACTCATACAGAGTTCATTATTATTACTGTGTTATATTCTTCATTATTACACATCTATCTCTGTTGTAAGGCTAATGTTGCACTGCTTCTATGTTCTATTGATTCTCATTACAAATAGCCTCATTATGATCAGACAGTTCCTAGAAAAAGAAAAAGTGCCACCACTATTACCCAGTAAGAAAAATATATATATGCAAGTTGTTATTCAGTTCAACTTCTTAGATATACAAACTGTCAAAATGGGTATGATTATAAAAACATTTTTCCTAATAAAGTCCATTTATGTGATAATTATTGTGGATTTATTTGACTCAGCATTCAAACATTATGGTGACATGTCATTTATCCATAATTAATAATAATACCTTTTCGTAATATTTGACTTCATATTCCAAGATGACTCCATTTGGCCGGTCAGGTTCCAGCCAAGCCAATGCCACACTGTGCCTTGTTATTTCCTTAGCTTGGATCAAAGCAATTTGAGAAGGAGCTGTTAATAAAGAGAGATTGGGAAATGTCAGACAATGTTCTCGGAAGAAGTCCAAGTATTGAATGATGTTGGACTGTTTACATTTTTAGCACACACATATATCTTGAACATATCAAATAATACAACTCAGAACAGTTCTAGCTTTAGGCATGACCAGTAGATTATTAAAATAGTATTTCTGCACTAAATTATATTTTAAACCCCAGGGCTTGATAACTCCTCCTTTCTTGTTATGCTGATTTTATGGCCTTATGCCAACTCTCTATTAGTACAAGTATCTTAATGAAGTCTTTCAAACTCTGCTGGCAAGGGAAAATAATGAAATATTGTTGGGTGACATCAGCACTATAGTTTAATTGATGAATTATATCTGCTCATTACATCAGGAAACTGAAACTAGCAAAAGCATCTATACTGTGAGGAAGGATTAAATGATATCACACACACATAAGATAATAGATTGGTGAGATGAAATTTATTTCTTCTAAATCAAGCATTATTTCAAATCATTGTTCTCCAATGATTTCTGCGTATCCTTTCCACTGTTATTCTATCTTCTGTCTACAGAAATTGAAGAAATAACAGGAAAAACCAATGCCAAGAAAAGCATTAAACCTTATAATTGACACTTGTGCATCCACATGGAAGGGCAAATGGAGAAGTAACATGTTATGAAGTATGATATCATCATACAAATGATGAAAATTATGTATGTGTTTTGATCCATAATACATCTGATGCAGATTACACAATTTGCATCACTGGTGTATTGGTGTCAGGCCACAAATGATGGCATTGTGGATTTTACTCACAACAATTTTATACGATCTAAATGTTTCCCTTCCCTCATATTAACTAGCCAGGTCTTCAAATTTTTTGCTGGCGCCCTTCTCACACTATCTGCCATTATCAGGCAAGTGGAACCATCAGTAATATCAAGAAAATGATATATAATTCTTGTGTCCCATTAGTCTAGACCAGTGTTTCTCAACCTTGACAATTTTAAGGCATGTGAACTTCAACTCCCAGAATTCCACAGCCAGCATTGCTTGCTGTGGAATTCTGGGAGTTGAAGTCCACATGCCTTAAAATTGTCAAGGTTGAGAAACACTGGTCTAGACAAAAGGTTATGAAGTCCCTTTTTTCGTAAAAATGAATTTTAAGCAACAATAAAACTGTATCCGATGTAGCGAAACAGGTTATTTTACTTGCTGTTTGATTATTGATTATATTGATTACATATTTTATGTGGCACTTGGGACAGAGATCATGGAGACAATATAGAAGTAGTCTGAGTATTTAAATTTGAAGTGATTTTAAAATCAAGAGGTACAGGGATGCTGTCTGTTATTAATCAAACAGCTTTCTGCATTATACATATAAAAAAGGGTTTTTTATTTTTTGAGATTCTTTATGGTTTTAGTCTAAGTTAATCAACAGAAGTACCAATCATAATGACCAACATTTACAAACATATAAGCACAGAACTAAAGGCAGTTCACATATAACATCTATTATTTTCTTCACTCACCACCTCAGTACCATAAGCTGTCACCTCTTCTGAGCACAAGAGCCAATTTACTTCCAATTACCTCTGCCTCAGCAGGAAACATACTTAATACATTCATATTTAAAGTTTGGCTTTCCAGAATTAAGGGTGGACCTGTTTTCCATTGGCAAGCACTCTGCTTCCCCGTTCTTAGGCTGTCCCATTTCTCTGCTAAGACACTAAGCTGCTATACTTCATACTAGCGTCTTAAGGTGTCTTTCATTTGTTAGACAAGAGAATGACTTGGTAGTTCAGCAGGTTACCTCAAATGAAAAACCTGGACATGGGTAAAAGAGTAAGATACTAGCCATTTCTTGTGCTTGCCTCTTGCTCAGCTGTATTTTCTCATGCAATGTTATTAATGCTTCAGGAATGGCAATGCTGAGGGAAATTGCAATTTTAAAATGTGTCAGTGAGGTTTAGCAATAGAAACAGTGACCATGTGGAAGTGTCCAAGAGAATTTATTTCACCTTGATGTTTTTGTCTCGTTTTCACCCCTTTTCCAAAAGACAATAGATTTCTTAACTGATTAAATTCTAAGCTTTCTTTTGAATTGTATTTTTAAATGCAATACGGAATGCTAAGATAAAACAAACAATGGAATAAATAAGAAAGAAATGTCTCAATAAAAGCTTCTAAAGGTCTCCTTAATGGTATCATTGGTGCCTGAACTTCAGATGTTTAAAAGGCCAGAGGACAATGCTGTTTCCCTTAACTATGACAGAAACAGATTCGTAGTCCTACTGGACAAATAGGCTTTCAGAAGATTTATGATTCAAGCTGCCCGGTCCTTATTTTTCTGTTACTGTGTGGTCATGTCTCCAGCCAACTGTTATCAAGTCCTGCCACAACTGACACAGCTTTGATACAAATGGTGGTGGTCTCCAGGGAAGAACAGATTTTTTTTTTATCTTATCAGCAAAAGCTGTGCTGTATAGTCAGAGATTAGACAGCTTTCCAAATTGAATATATTCTTTCCTTTGTCCCTAAAAAAACGCCTACAAATATGCAGGTGCTTATTTTTGAAACAAACAAAACAAATCAGCAATCAACAACCATCTGAACATTTATTAAAATCTTTAAATGGAAATTATAATATAAATACCTAATAAAAAAGGGAAAGAAAGAAAGAAAGAAAGAAAGAAAGAAAGAAAGAAAGAAAGAAAGAAAGAAAGAGATCCAAATCTAATTAAATTTTTGTCTTGTTTTATGTTATTCTATATAATTTGTAAATCTCAAGGAACACTTTAAATAACTATAAATATATGTCACAAGGAATAATAATAAAAATTGGACATGTAAACTTCAGAACTACTTGACAGTCCTGATGGGAAAAAAACTAAACAGCAGGCACTCTCTATCAGGAAGACTGTTTTCTGATCTACATTTTGACAGCTTGGCATCTCTGTTAAAAATTATTCTGGAGCTTTGCTTCTGCATCCTTCAGCACATCTGCCAATCTGTCTGTTTGTTCCTTACCCTGAAACTTATGTGCATGAAAATATACTGAGTGACAGAAACAGGAGTGGCAGGATCCATTAAAATGGATTACATCAAGATATTTACATGAAATAACCAGTACCAACAAATGGAATAACCCTAATTTGATAAACCAGTTGTGACCCTAATACAAGGACAAACCTTTTTGCATTTATTTGCAAGTGTCAACACTCAATGAAATAAATCTATCATGCTCTTCAAACAAGAACAGATTAGTGACAATCCAGCTATAAAAATCACATTTTCCGGTTAATCAGTGTCTCTTGAAGACCAGTTGGATTACTCTTTATATTGAACATTGAACAACTGATCCCAGCAATGTCTGAGAGAATTTCAGTTTTCTTTCCCTCATCTCCACATACTTTCAACCCAAATATTTGGGTTGAAAGAGTTTTCTCCTGATACCAGGAGAATCAGGTATATTTCAACTGCAGCCAATGTGATTTTAGTATTATTGGAATTATGGGTTACTAAACACAGAGGAAGATGCCTGGATGAGGAAGATTTATTGAAAGGTTCATATCTATAGTAAAAGTACTGTGCTGTTCATAAGCAAACATGACCACAAAAGCTCCTTATGTTTATGATTAAACTTGTAACTTCCTCCCAGACAAAAAAATAAAAAAGGTGTTCATCTCATTCTTTAATTTTTGTTTCACTTTCAAATATTTTTTTAGCCCATTTTTTCTGAGGGAGCACTTGGTCTAATCCTCTAGCTACTATCCACTACTATAAGTCACTTTAGAAGTAAATCTTTTATGTGCAACCTAAACATTTCTATATTCTTTCTATATTACTAAAACTTAAAAAATATGAAATCCTGTAGAATGTCAGGCACTGGTGGTACCACATATTTAGTAGAACATCCCACTTGGCTATACTTGCACCTGCCCATACTCATGCTATGCTCAGCTACACTTGCACCACATACCATCTAGTGCCATGCTATACTGTCCACCCCTTGCCCACCTGTTAACCTGCTTTTGAATCACCTAAAGGAAAACTTGTCCTGACCTGAACTTCCTGCAAGTCCACACTGACTTTGTTTTCTGGAAACCAGCAGGAACCAAGCTGTGGTCATATGAGGTCTTTGTTTAATGACTCCAATCCTCACTTAATGATGGCAATGGGGACTGCAGGGATTGCCATCTTGATACTGTAAGATACCAGAAATCTTTTTATAGCAGGAGATGTCTCTCATTCAATCTATCAACCTCTGACAAAAGGATTTGATATCAGGTATGAGAATTCCCTTCTGATGGTTAAATCACATATAACTTTAAAATAAAAAAGAATAAAGTAGAAGGAAAAGCAGAAACATATGCCTCTTTTTTGTTTTAATCTAAAGATACCATGTGGGTCCTTCCATACATGAAAGAGACCAGTATGTTCTCTTACTTCTTTGAATTACACTTTTCCCAGCTTGAAAAACTGTCTAGAATGCCATCTATACTCTATGATAGCTCTTACCATAGTGATTATAGTTCAAACAGCTTTTAAGATAGAAGATTTGATTATTCCTATCCCAGCTAGGAAAATATTTCATGACTAGAGTGGTCTTCATGCCTAATTGAAGACATAAAATGCTAAATCAGCTCTTTCTTCCTTCCATGATCTTTTATCGGAGGTCCACAGATCTGAAAAAGACTGCATGTTAATTTCTATAATACTTCTTCTTTTCCTCTATATGAGAAGGAACACCACTAAAGATGTGGGAATTAAAATTCTTCTTTATGTTTCTCTAGTCCTAGTAAATACCTTCCCCGATCTTCTGAAGAGTTTTCAATGGCGTTCTTCAACAAATAAGTTATGTTCTTTAGATGACTGTGGTGTAAATTTTAAAATGAAACCTGCCTAGAATTCCAACAAGAATTAATTTTCTTCCACCATAAATTTAGAGGGACAGATGCTTGTGAATTCCAACTAGCATGCAGCACTGGTGGGTGTTAT